AATTATGCTACTATTGTAGTTCCCGGCCTTCTCTGAATATACGTTCATTTGACGTGAAAATGTTATCAAGCATGAATTTTGACGACCTCGTATAGATTCTGTAATCAATAGGTGAACTCTTTTTTTATTGTAAAAAAACTAAAGAGTGAAACTAAAATCGTTGGCCGAAAATAAATTTTGAGGTTTTTTTTTTAGTTCTTTTTCAAACTTTAGTGTTCGGCATCTTTTTTAAAATGCCAAAGAACATCACCGATGGCGCATTTTCATCTGGTCTGGATTTTTTTTAGAAATTAGACTATTATTTTATCTTAGGTTGTTAAAAGTTACACGTAGTACTGATAATTTCTTTTCTAAAGATGAAAAAGCTTCTATATGATTATAAGACTCGAAATTTACCATCATTTTACTGGAAAGACAAATAAAATTTGATTTTCGGTGGTAAGTCAGTGCCTACAGAAACCTTCAGTTTCATATTGATTTGTTTTCATCATCATAATAATAATTATCACACCCTCAATATTAATATTATTAATATTAGTTATTTTTTTGCTATATTTTTCATTGCCCCATTTTATTTCGCTATTCGCCTCAGAAGTTAGTAAAAAATGAAAGAGACTGATTTCTTAGACAATAGAGAGACATGAAATATAACCAGTTAAAAAATAAATAAAAAGAAGACTTTATTATTCATTCATTTGAGAATATTTCCCCGTTTCTGATTGGCCTTTATACTCCGGAAAACTCTTCATAAGCGACTAGCGATGTCCTTATTGGAAGAGGCGGACAATATACGGTCGTCAACATCAGTCGCTTTGACGTCAATGATTGTATATAGCTGATTCATTAAAACTTGCTTTGGACATTGGGAATTGGGAACTACGAAGCTATTGTTTAATGGTCACTCAGGCAAATCATTGCATTGTTCTGTATGCCCAAATGCCTAATTTCCAAAAGAAAAAGCAACCTTTATTGAATCAGCTTGATATATATATATATTAGCCAATACACAATGACAACGGCACGACAGCTTAAAACTTTTCTGGCAAGAGTCCAAAACTCAAGAAAATGGCGACAGAGTTCGCGAAATAGCCGAAGAAAACGCAAACAAGTATTGTTCGTTCGATATCATCTGCGTTTTTAGGAGTATCTTCAAGTAAAGAACTTCCTTTCACATTCTGAAACTGAAACATAAAAAAAAAAAGAAAAGGCAATAAGAAAGAAAAAAAGAAAGAAAGAAAGAAACCGCTTCAATTCATTTTTTCCGCTTTCGACACAGTTATCGTAAGCTCGTGAAAATTTCTTAAACAAAAGTTGATCGAATTTTCATTTTCTTTTGTTTTTAAGATTTATTTATTGTTTAATCTTTTAGCCAGCTCTTAAAAGAGCTGGGACCGTTTTGAATTTAGTGATTGAAACTGATAAAAAGGACCTGAATCATTTCAAGGTAATCTTAGTTTCTTTTCTTTCAGGAAATGTTGCTCACAGTATAAAAAAGGCAATTACCAGTAATTGTTTGCTGTTAGAAATAAGTTAACTCAACTTCCATCCAGCTTTCATAAAAAACTTAAATGACGCCACACAACACACACATGCGGTTGTCAATGTCGCGAATTTTGCAAACATTTCGGATGCAAAAAACCACCTAGAACTCGTAGTACAATTGTCATGATAAATTTCATTGAAAAGCATCCCATCTTTATATAGAGTATTTACGTTGCAAATGGTCAATTATTTTTAGCAGGGTTAACAAAATTGAAATTGTAATATATGTCACCGGAAAGCAAGACAAAGGAATTATAGCAAGATTATACAAGTGTCATTTATTTTTCTTGACAGACTCACTGCAATCCAATACCTTCTTTTCCTTTTTTGCTTAGAGGTTTTGCTCAATTGGCACCACGTGATCAATTTTTCCTCTACTCGTCGTTTACCCTTCGTTTTATCTCAGTACACAACAATAAATAGCTTCATGACAGTTTTATCAATAAGAAATATTTTGGAAAAGATTTTATCTCATCCCTTATTTTCTAATCTGAGAAACTAGAGAGATTTAGAAGCACTTTTACATCAAACTGCAAACGTCAGCGGTTTTCCTCTTTTCTGGTGAAGTTTAATTTCCATGCGAGGTTTATCAAGAGAAATGATGTTGGGCAGATTTTATCTTCTCGTTTTCAATTTTCAGAATTGCCAAGTTGAATGTGACACTTGCCGTTAGCTTTTAACGAGCCGGTTCTAATTCTCTTTATTGTCAAATTCTTGGATCTGACGTTTGCTGTTTGCCCTTATACGCGATTTTAAATCTCTCTATTGTTGACACATTGTTTTCAATAATTATATGTAAAGCCGGATCCAAAGCTGAACTTCTAAAACATATCTTTTGATACGCTACCATAGCGATAGCTCAACTGAAACAGTTATCTGTTACCACATGTCATGGCCGTATGCTTCTTTTGAAATTTATCACAATATATTTTGTTTTGTCAGTCTGTTTGTTTGTTTTTTCCTTGAATAAGTCCCCATGATTCTATTTCTTAACTGAAACTGAATAATAGAAAAATAAACTGCGAAAAAAATCAACAATAGTTAATTATTCAATTCAAAGATAAATTTAATGTCAGACGCGATTTGCGAACTATTTCATTAAAATCTCACCACTGTAATCATTATAGCGGAGCCCTCCACCTAAGAAAATTTGGTAATCCATCCATCTGAGAAATTTTGGTAATCACGTGACCATACGCCCGTCCGTCCGCACCACAGGCATACCAATGTAAAATAATTTAATTAACAGGTATGACACCACAGGCAACTCGAGGTGTATTTGGCGGGATATCGCATGGCCATCTGGACTTTTAGAGAGAAAAAACAACAAAGACGAGTCTTTTTCGACGTTGTTTTTGATGCCAACACTCATGTGGATAACAGAGAAAGAGCTAGAACGAGTGATTAAAAACACAGGAGACGAATTTCGTTGGAAGAAAAACATGAAAATTTCATAGGGGCGGTAAGAAAATCAGAAATGCTCGCGGCGGAGCCGCTACCTAAGTGAAAATGAGCGGCAGTGAAAAAAGTAAAAGCGAACAGGAACACAAGCAACAAAAATTTGGTGAGCACATACGACAATTCCTACATAAAAAATAATGTGTAACTAGGAAGTTTCACGTTTTAGTTTTGCAAAACGGCATTGTAGTCGTGCAAAACAACGGCAAAGAAATGTACAATAAAGTGTGCTGCACGGGCAAATTTTTTTTTGGCTTATAAGAGCTATTGGTATTGTTGCCGTTCTCATTGCCACATTGCCGTCGCACCGTTTAGCAGTACACAATTATATTTTCTTTGTTTATAAAGTATCTAGTTATATAACGAGAGCTTCGCTTTTAGCCTTGGTTTATCTATCTTCACTGTCAGATATTTCAGATATCATGTAGATTTTTTGTGTTAAAAAAACGCTATATAGTTCCAGGGTATGAAAAAATATAGCAATTATGATATATCTTCAGGCTGGTCAAGAATGTTCTGTACAAACAGTACGTACTAGTTGTAATGTGGAAATGTTTTAACTACTTCTTCAGAAGGAAGTCTTCCACTTTTTTATTACAAAATCTGAGTTTTACATCCCACGCTGAACAAAATGGAGGGATACATAAAATCTTACCAGTTGTGATCATACTTTTAAATTAGCAAAATCTCAGAGAAAAATGCTAGTTTTAAATAAATGTGTGCATGAGAAGTTTTGGTTAGAGTTGTGCGTCTAAAAAACACTTTGCTGAATGTCCAGGACTGATACCGATAGAATCAACTAGAAAGGATACCCCGGTCGTAAGACGTACCGTACTCGGCGTTCGAATTGAATACAGCTTATGGACAAGTCAAACATTGCGTTTTTGTTTTGTTAAAGAAAATCGAATTATTAGTGCAACTGTTTTATTATTATTATTATTATTATTGCCGATAAGTATATAGGTTTTTAAATTTAGTATATAGGCCATTAAAGTTTTTTCCGTAGTTTTGAATCAATAGAAACAAATAAAAAAGCAGGATAATGCCAATAAGAGTCAATTCTTTCTGCGACGCCCAATAATTTCTGTAAGACTTTTTTGGGGCATAGAAAGAGAGAAAGAAAGAGAGCGCTAAATCAGTTGTTTCAGGTGCTTTTTTCTCAAACAATTTTATTTAAAAAAGGGAAAACGTGCGAGTTGTGGTATATTGTGATGGCCGAGAAGTAGATATCCAAATCGTTCAAGTTCAAAGTAATCGTTTAATATTCAATTCATGCTATTATACTCATCGATCATGATTACCGGACAAGTTTCTTATTCATTGCGCATAAGCTGTTTAATTGGCGCGGCTTTTCCATGGTTGTAAGTGCACATGTTAGTAATAATAATAATAATAATAATAATAATAATAATAATAATAATGATAGTTATTATTATAATATAATTGAGCCTGCCTTGCGACGCTGTACTGTTGCACTTTGTAATAATCGTCGCACTTTGTAATAAAATTGTCACACTTTGTAATACCTGTCGCACTTTGTAATAACACTTGTTGCACTTTGTAATGAAAAAAGCTGTCGCACTTTGTAATAACACTTGTCACACTTTGTAATAAACTTGAAATAGATGGTCGAAGGACAAGTAAACCCAGACAATGATTGAGACACCGGGTTGTGTTCTGAGTTTGTGATTTTCATTTGGTTTTATAAAATTCAGTATAGCTTATTATTGTTGTTGTCGATGATGGCACTTATTACTGGGTTTTCTTGTCCTCCGACCATCTATTTCAAGTTTATTACAAAGTGCGACAAGTGTTATTACAAAGTGCGACAAGTGTTATTACAAAGTGCGACAGGTATTACAAACTGTAACAATTTTATTACAAAGTGCGACGATTATTACAAAGTGCGACAGTGCAGACGCGGCTCGAGTAACAGCCACACTTTATTTTTCCAACAGATATTTGGTTAGGTCGTCAGGCGACTGTTTCACTAAACCAAAATGTACGGAATGCTTCTGGAAAGTGTCCAGTATTTCCTTACGGAAAAATTCGGTGAGGCAAAATGGAATGAGATTCGAGAGCGTGCTGGAATATGCGATCATATGTTTATCACACATAAGCGATACAGTGAGAGCTTCATGAAGAAAATTGCCGACTCCGCCGCCGAAATCCTCGGAGAAGAGACAGACATGCTAAGCGACGATTTTATGCAGTATTTTGGCACTTGCTTCGTGAAGTTCTTTAGTCACTATGGATACGATCGTGTCATCAAAGTAAGCGGCCGCTATCTGCGGGATTTTCTAATAGGAATTGACAACTTGCACGAACATATGCGTTTTGGATACCCAAAGCTTCAGTCACCGAGTTTCTTCTGTGAAGAGGAAACAAGTTCTGGGCTAATTTTGCACTACATTTCCAAAAGGAAGGGGTTTATGTTCTACGTTGTTGGTCAAATCAAAGAAATCGCGTCTCAGTTTTATAACATGGACGTAGATGTTAAAGTTCTAAGCAACGAAGTCGTCAACAATACAACTCACGTTGTCTACCGCTTGGGTTTTGATAATACCGGGTATAAACCTCCGGCTCCAGACTTTTTGTCAGTTCAGAGCAAGCAAGGAATCAATGTGGAGATATTTTTCAGTATATTTCCTTTCAGTTTTGCCTTGTCTTACGATATGACAATCAATATGGCTGGACACGGAATTATATCTACAGTGGGAAATCGTATCATCGGCAATGACATCAGAGAGCTGTTCAGTATGAGAAGACCAAAAGCCGAATTCACTTGGGAAACGGTACGTAATAATGGTGTCTAGTATATAAACTCCATTGATATACAACGTTAGCTTTTGCAAAAACATGATCAAAATCAATCATTTTTGATAGAATTTAACTAACTTTAACTAAAAATTTCATTCGATGGACAAAGAAACTAAGCTTCAGAATCTCCTCAAATATTTTAACAACTTAGTTAAAACTAAATGATGAATTAATAAATAGATAGATTAATAATTAATTAATAATGATTTAGGAGTATCACTCTCGTTTTTGAGGAAAATGGGAAACCTGTCAGCCCAGAGGAAATTCCTCGCGGTAAGGGTCAAAACCAACGGCAAACTCAATTCTCACATAGCATTACCTCTGAGATCATCTCACCGGCCTAGTCAAACACGACCACCCCTAGACTCCCGCCCAGTCAGCTTGGGTGAAGGAGCGCCGGTCTGCTGAGCGTGAGTTCAAACCCTGGCCGGACGTACTACTAACCAAGGTCTTTAAAACAAACTCACAGGTGAGATCATGCTAGCCGTGATTAAAAAACCCGTTATCAGTTCAGATGATCACGTCATAATGAGTTGAGCCGGCGTTGGCCTTGTCTCTTTCATCCGTGCATTAGTTGGAAGGGGATATTAACAACCTGTGACATTCTTCGACAAGAGCTAAGGGGACGTAGGCCCTGGTGTGGCAATCTATCTGACTTCTGCCGTCATTGGTCTGGATGGGCAAAGTGAGATCAAACATGGACTGAAGCGGCTGCATAGTGCGCTTTTACATGCTTGCGTCCGATCTCTCCTCTCCGGTTTTTTCGTAGTTCAGCCATTGGCTGCAAGTGAGGAAAATTGGCAACCCGTTATTATTAACAAAAAGAAAGCAGAGCCACGACATTTTCTTTAGAAATTAGCTCTTCTGGAAACAAACCAAACATGCAGGTTGATTTTAAAGGTCACATGGGTACTACTGATGTATTCAGTACACTACTGGCCAGCATCACTGTCACACGTGATAGATTTCTGTGTCTGTTAATCAGAAACCTTAAACGTTTACTGTACCGGCTGGTCACCACAGATCAAACAACTGAGCTGGTCATAGACAATTGCCAAACCTAAATTGATGGGTCAAAGTGTACGCACAGGGTCGTGAGTCTACTTGTCATTTAGTTGAGACAGAAAACCGTATTCTTCCAGAGCTAACTGCTTGCTGAATTTTTCACTCTCTGATAGTTCGCGACAAGGCACGTGGTTTTTGAGTTGATCTGTACGCTGCCAACTTTACGTCGTCCCACCATCGCCAACTTCAACTTCAACCAGTTATCACTGGACTTCCAAAACGGAATTACCGACACGTGTCCGCTGTTTGTCTCTAAAGAAAATGAAAATCAAGCGCTGAAAATACTCCACAAACCACAGCTACACCTACGGGGAATCATGAAGTACATACGCTCATGGAATAAAATGCTCTATATCTGCTCTCCATTGTATGTAATTTAATTCTTATCTCTTTTTTAAGCATCACTTTTTTTTTATTTTTTGGTATTATCTATTTCGTTGGTATTGCACGGTTTTATTTTTTTGTTTCTCGCTTGGTTTGCTCGATTGATAGTCAAAGAACACTTGTGTTTTGAGCGAGAGGCGAGTGCATTTTCCAACCCCATTACACGGAGTTATGAGAGATTGCGTTTCTCTTTCTGGCAATTCAAACTGGCAAGGATTAGCTAGGGCCTGGGCGCTAATGTTGAGGAAGAGTGAGACTAGTTACTAATCCGGTCCATTAGTTGACGTCTGTGTTTTGGTGCTTAACTAACTGCAGCCTTCCGTAGATATATATTCAGTTCACTTTGCTGAATAAAAATAACAATAAAAATAACAAGTTATTTTAAAGACGGTTCCTTTAAGCACCAACAAAGTTGCAAACTTAACGTGTCTAGTTCGAAGTTGAAGTTGTTAGGTTATATTATATTTTCCGTAGAATCGGAGGTGTTGAAGAAATGATGCGCATCGGTCTGTACATGAACGATTTGGGTTTGCACGACACGTCACGCGAGATGGTGCTCTCTGGAATAAAACCACTGCCCCAGCTAGAGATGGCTAGGGACCAGGTATTGGAACTTCCCGAAAAGTACATGATTAAACTGATATTGGTCTTTAGATGAGACCAATTGATTAAGATAATTCTAAACTCTAAACTGTGTCACCCTTTCCCCCCTGAGAAACGTTCCACAAAATAGACCCTCCCACGGTTTATTCGGCTCAATTCAATGCAATTCAATTTCAATTCAATTTTATTAGTCACACTTTATAGAATATTTACATTATATATAGTAAGGTAGGAATACAATAATAAAGGAGAAGAAGAAGGGGAAAAAAAAAAAGAAAATTAATGGCTTGGGCAGAAGTGTAAGGTGGTCAGAGGAGCTTAGCTTTCGATCTAACCACCGAGCTATTCAACTTTAACATGGACCAAGTTAGGGAAAATCCGTCGACATCACTAGAAAGAGCGCCTTAAAATCGGTTAAACTGCCAAATTTAAAAGTGAAACGTCTTAAACGAGCGAAGATATAGCTCCACAGAATTTACAGACTTTTGTATTTTGAGGGACACGTTTGCGCTCCCCCGTACAAACGTCTCTAAAATTTCGCGATTTTGAGGAGCTACATCTTCGTTAGTTTTTTTTCAACAAATCACTTCAAACTTGGCAGTTTTACTAATTTTAAGATATTTTTTCCTGTGGTGTCGACAGATTTTTTCTACCTTATCCATGTCAAAAGTTGAAAAAAATGTCAAAGGCACGTCTATTAAATACGAACAAGTAAAGGATCAAAGAAAGGCTGATGACGTTTTGTGACGTAAAACGATTTCCTCAGCCTTCAATTCCGATTCTGACCATTACTTTGTGTTTTGTGGAATTAGGCAATGTATTTGTCTGTAATAAAGGTATTGCGAAGCAAATGAGGATTGTGAAGATGATTGAGGAGTTTTTGACAAAGACAATTCTTCGTATTTGCCTACATTAGTTATTCTGACTACAATCTTATCAATTCATTCTAATTTATTCTTGCGAATGGCAGTCAATTTGGCCGGGCGATAAGGAAGGATAGCGAGAGAAATATACATACTTGAAGACAAAAAATAGGTTAGCAATATATTTGACCAGTTAAAATTTCGGATACACATTTTACGCATATTCAAGAATTAAAAACGATAAAAAAAATCGTGTCCGATTCACTTCATCACTACTGATAAAATATCGCCGTCACGGAAACGGATCTTTGATTGGTCAATTGGCCTCCTGAGCATCTTGGATTTACTTTAACAACTGAATAATATAAACACAGATCATGTTCAGGACGATATTTTTTCATCTAATACCATCTATTAGTATCATTCTGAGTAGAAATTTGGAGAATAGAGTAAAGTGTGATAAGGGCACATCAAGTGCACAAGAGCCGAGACTCTGAAAAGTTAATGACCTACGACCCTTTTTCTTCGACCAGGAATTCGACAAAGGAAAGGCTTTAGAGGAAAACATGGAAAAGTTGGCGTTGGAGAGAAAACGAAGCGAAGAGTTGCTTTATAGAATGATGCCAAAAGCTATCGCCGATAGATTGACACTTGGTGGTAAGGCTGTGGAAACCTGTGAGGTATGTTGTATAGGGGAGGGCTGTGTCACAAAAATTAATCAAAATTCAAACAGTGGGAACCCCCGTCAAGTTAAGTGGAAAATAATATATAGATTTAGCCAGGGCTAAAAGCGAAGCTCGGGTTAATAATACGTGTAAACAAAAAAAATTTAATAATGTAACTCCGCTAAACGGGGAAGACAATGAAAATGCGTCAAGACTAATAGATCTAATTAGCAAAAAAACAAATTGCGCGCGCAGCACACTTTTTCTTCTAATTAGCAAAAAACAAATTGCACGTGCAGCACGATTTTTTGTCTTTCCCTTGCCGTTGTTTTGCACGACTACAACGCTGTTTTGTACGACTAAAACGTCAAACTTCCCAGTTACCCATTATTTTTATGGAGGAATTGTCGTATGTGCTTACTCAATATTTTGTTTCCTGTGTTCATGTTCGCTTTTATTTTTCACTGCCGCTCATTTTCACCTTGCTGGCCGCTAACATTTCTCATTTTCTCACCGCCGCTTTGTATTTCCATGTTTTTCTTCCAGTACGAAATTCGTCTCCCTTATTTTTAATAACTCGCTCTAGCTCTCTCTCTGTTATCCACGTTAGTGTAAACATAAAAATTAACGCCGAAAAAGGCACGATTTCGTTGTTGTTTTTTCTTTCTAAAAGTCCGGGCGGCCATGTGATTTCCTTCCAAATAAAACCTTGAGTTGCATTTGGGCTGCCATACCTGTTGATTGAGTTATTTTGCATTGGTATGCCTGTGGTGCGGACGGACGAGTTTGACTAATAGTCGCGGGTCGCGGGTCGCGGGTCGCGGGTCGCGGGTCCAATGTCGCGGTCGCGGGTCCAAAGTCGCGGTCGCGGGTCCAATGTCGCGGTCGCGGGTCCAATGTCGCGGCGGGGGAAAATGATTTGGAGTTCGAGATAACTGAGTGAAAACGAGTGATATGAAAAAAATATAAAGGGCAAAAAATCGTTTTTATGCATGATACTCTACGGTAGCCAATTTACGGGTTACGGATGTTAGAATCAACAAAATAAAGAAGACCTAAAAGAAAAAGCTGGCCGACTTTTCTGTTCACCGCAAGTTCATTTTGTTTTCTTTCTATCGGGCCCAGTTATTTATAAATTCAGCTTTGAATGTACTTATGCATAACAGTATCTGATAAAAAATGTTACCATGAGTTACCATTGTTTTCGTCTTGTCTAGGAATTGTTCACAAATTCTTAGCAGTGCATTCACTTAAAAATGTGCGATACACTTCATAGACTATAAATTATAAACGTTACAACAACTTAAAACCTTTTTTAAAAAAGGCTAACTCGGGCTCAAAAAGCTACGAGTCTGTCGGTAGAAGAAACGAGAACTGTTTCAATTTTAACAAATGTTTTCGGCAAAAATATAGAAAACGCTTGTTGAAAAACTTCCTTGTCGCAAAATCCCAAAATAAACTCTTTGCACAAGTAACTGGAAAGAGAAGGAGAGACGTTGGGCTTGAAGTGCCAGTAAAGTACATTCAAGTGGGTATTCAAGGCATGAATTTAATATAGAAACAAGTAATAATCCACAGCAAGAGGGGATAAAGCTCGAGCTTTATCCTCTCTTGTTCACAGAAAGGAGTTTGTTCCCACTAATTATAACGATTGAAATCCGGAATCCAAGTTCTACCAAGAGAGAATAGATCATAGTCTCTTGGTTCTACTGACAAAGACTTGAATCCAGTACCTGGAATCTGGAATTACTTACCTAATTTATTGTCTTTTCTTAGCTCTGATGGAGTTGATAACTTACCGTTTTCAGTGTCTGGTTTACTTTCTTTTTCAGCTTCATGATTTTTCAGCTTCACTTAGTTATTTACGATGCATGTTTTCAAGATTTGACTGAGACGCACATTGAATGGCTTCCTATTGTCAGGTTGTCCTGGTTGTCATTTAGGTGAAGAGAACAAGAAGTTATATTGAACACTCTGGATTGCCGTCTCAGTTGTAAAAATAAAAGCATTAAGCAAAAATCATGCTTCGAGGAACAGACTCCTTTCTGTGGATTATTACTTGTTTCCATATTAAATTCATGCCTTGAATACCGCTTGAATGAAGTTCATGCGCCTATTTACATTTTCTTTCAGTTTTACTGAAAGCATTTGTTAAATATAAGAGTTCTCGTTTCTTATACCGACAGACTCGTAGCTTTTTGAGCCCGAGTTCGCTTTTTTTAAAAAAAGGCTTTAGGTTGTTGTAACGTTTATAATCTGTAGTCTATGAAGTGTATCGCATATTTTTCAGTAAATGAACCCCTAAGCATTTGTGAGCAATTCATCGACAAGAAGAAAGCAATGGTAACTTATAGTAACTTTTTTATCAGATACTGTTATGCATAAGTATATTCAAAGCTGAATTTACACATAACTGGGCCCGACAGAAAGAAAAACAAAATAAACTTGCGGTGAACACAAAAGTCGGCCAGCTTTTTCTTTTAGATCTTTTCTTGAGACATTATTTTGTTGACTCTGACATCCGTAACCTGTAAATTGGCTACCGTAGAGTATCGTGCATAAAAAAGATTTTTTCCCTTTATATTGTGTTCATATCAGTCATTTTTACTCAGCTGTTACCTCTAACCCCAAATCATTTTCCCCTGCCGCGACATTGGACCCGCGACCGCGACTTTGGACCCGCGACCGCGACTTTGGACCCGCGACCGCGACTTTGAATCCGCGAACCGCGACCCGCGACTATTAGTCAAACTCCGGACGGACGGTCGGACGGTCGGGCGGTCGGTGTACCGTCACGTGATTACTAAATTTTCTCGGATGGGTAGATTACCACATTTCCTTAGCTATGGGGCTCCGCGCGTGGAGCTCCGCTAAAAACAACTGCTAAAAATATGAAAAGAACGTATAAATAACTCAGAGAACATTAAAGACGGTACGGTTGTACAATCTTGAACAAGACTGAAACAAAAAAAAAAAATTGTTAACCTTGCTAACAGTTCTTGCTTTTTTGTTTTTTTTGTTTTTTTAACTTTTGATGTGATGTTTGGGAGACATGTTTGTTTGACACGAAGCCATTAGCAAGTTATTTTTCAAGTTCCATGGCGAATAAAGATGCGTAACAAGCAGTGATTATTAACAAAATGAACTGGTCAGTTGTGACAGTGTTACATTTCAGACGTGACAAAATACCCCAATAACGGCCTTCAAGTAATGGACTGCTTCAATATTAACAATTGCAAAAGCAAAATTGTTGGAATTATAATTGTAGCACGGTTCACAGGGTTGATTAATAAAAATGACGCTATTGATTACTTTACTTTGAATTGCAGAATTTTGAAAGTGTCACTGTTATGTTCAGCTACCTGGATGGCTTTGTCACCATTTGCTCACAGGTCGGAGCTATGGAAATTGTGAACCTGGTCAACAACATGTTTACCATTTTCGACAAACTGACTGAGAAGCATGATGTTTATAAGGTAATAAAGTAAAAAGAGGGGAAGTCTTAAACCAATTTTATTTCAAGACTGAAAAACTTGGTTTCCTTGGTTAGCTGGGAAAGCACTTTAGGCCAAAGGAAAGATGGGTATCTGTGAGAAGCTGCAGCCAAACTTCTAACTGAAAAAGATGATAATGAAACAAAAATTATGCTTCAAACTTCATATCTAAGTTTAACGGCAATAGTCAGGGTCTCTAGATTTCCTTAAACCACCTCCAATTCTCCTCCCGACTCCCTTTTTTTTTTCCACCACATTCGCTACATATACTCAGGAGATTGGGGGAAGGGTGGTTTTTTCCAATCGATAGTTTGGTTATTGGCAAAGGTACCATAGCTGTGGACTGTAGATAACTGGTTAACGAATTAAATGAGAGAAATTTTAGAAATGGACCAATAAATGAGCGAGTCCCAGTTCTTCTTGCACTAACACCCCCAACACTAAGACGTAGATTCCAAGGGAATGAATAGCAGAAACACAAAAAAGGTATTATTTTTAGCAATTTTATCGAGAAAAGGTGGTACAGCTTGAAAGCCGATTTAGCCCTAACTTTTTTCGATGTTTCATGAGGAAATAAGACAACCATTACATAGATTCGACTTAGAATATACAAAATATATCATAGATGAGAACTGCGGATGAAAATGGGGAAGTGGATAATATTAATCCCCAGAGTTAAATGGACAAACAAAGGGGCTGAATAGAACCCAATCAATTTTAAGGTTTAATTACACTTATAAAATAAAGTACTCCTTAATAAAACAGGAACATCGAAGACATGCTAAGGATGCTTTGGCGTATGCCGTGACAAAACCTGTCTGTATGTTCTCCTCAGTTCCCCCCTTCTTAATCACAATACCCTTTTAGGTCTCAAAAACACTGAATTAACATGGGTAAACAGCATAAGTAAATACGTGAAAAAAAAAAAAAACAAGAGTTCCAATCAGTCGGAGGCGAGCCAGCTGTCTATTTACGCGTGGCTGGCCGAATAGGTGAACCCGAGACTCTGACGGAAAACATATTATTCCAGCTAAAGGCCAGGGCAGCTTGAATTCGAAGTTTGAAGTCAAGCCCAAACGCCCCACTATGCTGCCTCCTAAATGGTGATTGACTGATATTCACTAAATCATGTTTTGATTACAGTTTGAAACCTTAGGTGACGCAATGTACATGACTGTTAGTGGTGCGCCAGTGAAGACGACGCGTCATGCGGAAGCAGTCTCAGCAATGGCACTCGACATGCTAGAGGGCGTCGAGCTTATCAAAAATCCCGCCAATAAAAAGCCTATGACAGTCTCGATTGGTAAGAGTCAACCTCCTGTAGAGTTTTTCAGTTAAAGTTGAAGTTGCAAAACCCATCTGACTATTAATGATTGCCCTACTGAACCATGACAAAAACAAACAATTTGACGGGTAATCAAGAAACGTAACTCCCGCTTGTTAGATTGTTTTGTTTGTTTGTTTGTTTGTTTGTTTCTGTTTCTGTTTCTACAATCTGTGCAAAACAATGGCGTGGTTTGAGGTCATCCCCCGTGGTCCTTAGTAGGCAAAAGTAGCGCCTTGTGCTTATGTGATTCTAGGAGCTTGAAACTACCCTAGACTGGCTGATAATGCTAAGTAAATGAGCGATAACCGATGCGTGGACACAGGTGGTCAGGGGAGGAAACCAACAGAAAAGTGAAAAGATTGCGAAACTATCACAATCAATGTAGAACCAGGATGTAATTTAATTATCCCTAAGATATTTCACTTATCCCTTATCCCAAAAGTTTTTATTTTATCAATTATTCCCTATCCGTTAATTTATTTGTCCAGTTATCCCATATCCGTAAAACCCCCAACAGGGCCTAAAATGTGGCATGTAAGAATTAAAAACATCGTGCTGTGTAGCGTCGAATAAAAAAAAAGGAAAGAAAAGCATTGGAAAGAAAAATAATTGTGATTGATTAAAAATGTACCCAAAATAATCTAGATATCTTGAGTGAGACATCCTGGCCATTTTTGGTCATTTCCGTAAACTCAAAACGGTAATATTTGTGGCCTCACAAAGCATTTTGCAATATGTGAGACAGTGAGTATTGGAAGCTTGGTGTTCTTATTACAATCAAGGTCATTTTTTTCATCTTTCATCCTCCCAATCAGGCATACACACGGGTCCTGTGGCGGCGGGATTAGTTGGTGAAAAGACACCTCAGTACTGCTTATTTGGGGACACAGTTAACATAGCTTCTCGGCTCAGGACAACATCACTGGTATGGTATATCATCATCATCATCATCATCATCATCATCAACCATCATCATCAACCATCATCATTATGAAAAGCGCAAGACTCGATTGCCACAGATATTCTTTTTTAAATTAGAATAGTTTCAAAATGGAACGATTTACCAAGAGATAGTAGGGGATGAATAGCCTTCATCATTTTAAGCATAAGCTTCATCATTATCTATTTAATAAACTTTAAACAAGAACTGTTCTTTAATTAAGGCCTTCATTTTTAAATACTTGTATTGTATTTGATTTTTTATTTAGTATTTTCTAATTCTGTTTCGGAATTCTAATACAGGACTAACCTCTCAACTCCCTTCTCAAGATGTCTTCTATGTTTATCCTGTAAATAAGCTTGTTTGCATCTTGAAAAAAGTCAGTATGTTATAGGTTATGTAATGTTATCGCCATGAGTTATCACTGATACTATCTCTAACTATCTAACTAACTCCATTTTGAGCAGTAACCCTTGCCTCACACCACAAAAGTCCTTTCTTCTCAACTTTTAACATCTTTGTCCGCCTCAGCTCTTGAGGACATGTACGTCTGGTCTTTCAGAGAGTGGCCAGCCATCGCCATGTTCCTTATCTTATCTCCTCCTCCATTAGCTGCTGTCCTACCAGTCTCCACAAAAAATCAACAGGATGTGCATAAGTTTTTGTTGATAAATTCCTGCAACTTTTGCTTTAGCTGCATCGGTCAATCTCCAGGTTTCGGCACCGTATAAGAGCACGGCCTTCAAATTTGTCTCGAGAAATCACGACTTCGTTCTCGTTCTCAGTGATGTCGACCGCCATATCAGCGGTCACCACGGCATCGCGAACCCCTACCTCGCCTTCCCAATACGTGCTTGGATGTCCTCCCCAGTTTCCCTTTTCTTACTCAAATTACTCCCAAGGTACACTTGAAGTCTACCTCCTAAATCTGCTCTCCTGCAATTACCAAACCATCCCCCTGTTTGGAACCAACAAAAATTAGCTTAGAAAGGATTATTTTGCGATTGCATTTTACAAGTTCGAAGAAAGTACAAACTTTGACACAAACTTATAAACGCAAATAAAAAGTGCGAATCATGTCGGTCATGTTATAAAATGCAGGTATTTTTAACGGTTTTGTAATTCACATTACTATAAGCTGGCATTAATATTTACATTTGTGATCTTTATATATTCACGTACGTTCGCCCCAACTTTCTTCTCTACCAAGCTGTACATCATAGATACAGTATACGAGAGAAACATACACTCATTTTAATTGCTGGAAATTTACTCTTTGAGATAAGGCTTCTTGAAGCTCGTTTTTTTTTTCTTTTTTCTCAGCCAATGAGAGTGCACATAAGTGCAGCAACAAATCGATGTTTGGAAAATACAGATTTTGTCACTGAGAAAAGAGGAATGGTGGAGCTTAAGGTATAGTGCAAACATTTGTGTTATATCTTGCCTATCCAGCATGTATAACATTTAATGTCTAATTATTTACTGAAGAAAACTTTAATGTGTTATCGTATTTATTTTGGTTCATGTGTTTTCCATGTTCTTTTTGTAAACAGGGAAAAGGCAAGACCCAAACTTTCTGGTTGACAGAGAAGAAACTGAACTGAAACTCCTGCCATTTGAGCCTCTGAATAGTGATATCTTCGTCTTTTCAACAAATTTTCAAAGCCACAGAGTAGATATTAGCGAGTAAATATGTTTTAGTTTACCTGAATCAGTATCAATGAAGCCCTCATTAAACGTAGGTAAAAGCTAGTGAAAATCAGCGTTAATTGAGTGGGTTCCAACAGAAATAATTTAAAAAAAAGATTCATAATACACTGAGATTAAAGTTGACGTCTCATTTGCGTCTTCTTTTTAACATTCAATGAAAACCCGTTATGGCGCCCAATGAAGGGCCTCGAGAATCTGGTCACATCAGCGAGGTGGTCACACTAACGAGTTTTTTTAGATATGAAAATGGCGGAGATTTTTAACGGTTGGTCGGAAAGAGTAATGGTCGAATGTACTGAGTGTAAATAAAATAATTAAGTCTCATCGACAAAAAAAAACAAAATTCCCATTTATGCAACAGAAAAGGGAAAGACAGGGAATTCAACCTTTATCACTTTGAGATATTGCCCCCACCATCCGAATTTTCGGAATCCTGCATCTCGGATTCACCACCGCTACCTTTAGTAGCTAACTTTGATATCAGAAAAGTGTCATATTGCGGCCGTACTAACTTAAAAAAAAAAAAAGATCAAAAGCAGAATGTCGGATTCCAGATCAGTTCTAATCAATAGTCAGTCAAGCGAGCCTCTACGTGACGAAATCAATAAACCAGGACGAATATAAGCTCTCAAGCAAGTTAGTAAGAGGCCTGACGAGGTTACTTTTTTTACCAAATCAGGGATGTAAATTTTCTAAGTCAACAAAAACAGTTCCTACTTGCCTTTTACTTTCTGAATTGGGTTAAGCAACCAGAGGCAGTCCAGGAAAAGAAAACATAAACACATTAAAAGATTGAACAAAGACAACTGATTATCTACACGTGCATTTTGTATACATTTTTGGGGGGAAATCTCTATTCCTCATAAGGGACTTGTCAGAAATTAGCAGGGTGGGAGGGGGGGGGTGAATTTTAAATTTAGGTTCGGAAATGAGGTGACCCATCCCTGCAATGGGAGTGAAATTTGCAAACCCTCCCCGGCCTTGGCCTTGGCCTAAAATATCATGACCCTCCCCCTCATGTATACATGATAAAATCTAGTTCTTGCAATACACTAGGGTGAGTCAGTATTATGAAAGCTCAAAATATATTTCTAATCTGTTTTTTGTAATGCCAATACATACATTTTAGATGACAACATTAAGAGTCCGACTCTGATTCTGACAGCTGATCACTCGACTCTCCTATTTCTCCCAGTTTTTTTTTTTTTTTAATAAAGAACTTCTTTTTTCTTCTGTGCGTGAACCTCTACATGATCACGGACAAATATTCACATGACCCTCCCCCTTTTAACAGCCCATTTTTCATGACCCCTCCCTTTTCTGCAGTCTCAAAAAGTTGTGATCCTCCCTCTGTTTCCACCTCCCCCCCTCCCCCCCTGCTAATTTCTGACAAGTCCCTAAGCTCGGCTTCTCGGAGATTTCCCCGCCACAGTGTGTGGAAAAATAATAAAATAAATACAAATTTTTACTAATTTGTGCCTTTTATCTTCATTTTTCTATATACTCAGTCACTAAAGAAACCTGATTGTAAAAAACTTTTGTGAAGCTGAATTTTTAAAGTATTACATAGCCGGCTTTATAGTAGGCAGAAATATACATCTGTCGCTTTGAGAACCCTCAGAGTTGTACTCCTGAAAATGATAATAAAAAATTGAAAAATGACGACTGTATACAAACTTTTTTAATTTAAGACACTCAGCTGACTAACCTTCTTTCTAACTTGTGAAAGTTACTGAATAATGACAATAGGACTGAGCGGAGTCTAATTCGGCCTGCAATCATAGCATACGAGTGATTAACAATTGTTTAATCAGGAATATGATTACAGACCGAATTGAACGACACAAAGTTCTTTTAACAATTGACAAGAGAGGATAAAGGGGACAGAGAAGGCATCCCCCACACACACCCTACTCCATAGATAATTCGTCTCGAGTTATTTTTAAGACCACAGACCCCGAGGGGGATTAGACAGCAGCCAATCACATAGCGCGATTGTGTTCCGCGTGAAACGTTCGTTTTGTCAACGAAAACGGCTAAAGAGAGATTTTTGCTAAAGCTGTGTCAGCGAAACGGAAATTATAAAAGAATCGCCATTCCTCTCTTGTATAGAGCTAACAGTACAGCAGGGAAATCCTTAACAGACTGAATATTTTCTCAGGATCATTTGTAATTTACATTTTTATGAGAGCAATTTCTGGCTTGATATTTATTCTTTTATTAGTCTTTTGATTCAACAAAAATAACAGTTGGCGTCCTACTTGCTTTATTGTATAAACGACCGGTTTCAATAGACCGGCGAAATTTCTCATTTTATTAAAGCACTGAGCTTTCGACAACTTCGAGTTAAACTGATTTCACGGGTTGTCAAAGAGTCCAGCGATTCCCTTTTCCCGGGTGAGCGCCGACTCATTTCGCTTCAATATTCAGAAATGCTCTCGATCCCTTTTTCGCCCGACATGTTTCCTACGGCGTTTAGTCATGCGAAACCTGCACGAAACATTCACGCAGCCCGCGAGGTAACTTTATCCCGATTCTAAAAATAACTCGAGACGAATTACCTATGGAATAGGGTGTGTATGGGGGATGCCTTCTCTGTCCCCTTTATCCTCTCTTGGTAAGAACTTTTACCCGTCGACTCTGTTAAGGACCTGGGTAGTGTTTGATAGTAAACGCTCATTCAACGACCCCATAATTAAAACAGCATCATCTTGTATGTCTGCCCTAGGGAAAATTAGCCGAGTTAAACATATATTTAGAAAAGACATACTTGTTACAATAATTAATTCTCTCGTGTTTAGTAAGTTGTATTGCTGCTCGTCCGTCTGGTCGAATACTTCTGCCAGCAATATACGCAAACTATAAGGGGTACAGAATTTCGCTGCTCGCATAGTTTCTGGGACAAGGAAGTTTGATCACGTATCTCCAGCCCTGAAAGACCTGAGATGGATACCAGTTAAGTCCCACCTGTATCTAAGAGACGCCATCTTGGCCTTTAAATTTATGACAGGTCAGGTACCAAACTACCTCAGTTCAAATTTTATCTCTAGAGGGAATATCAGTGGTCGGACGACCAGATCATCTTCCCAGCTTAATATAATCGCTTTTTAAAACCAATTCGGGACAAAGATCTTTTTATTGCAGAACTGTAACATTGTGGAATGCGTTAAAACCCCATTTTAAATTAAGTGAATCTCTTACCATTTTCAAACGTAAAATGAAGCCTTCCTTTTAAATCAATTTTTAATGTCATAAATCTATATGTAAATAGTATCTTAATAATTTATTGATAATCAATTTGAGATGTCATAAATTCTATATGCAAATAGTTTCTTAATAATTGTTTATTGACAATTCTTGAGTATTTGTTTATTTATTTATTTATTGATTGATTACCTGTGCTATTAATATTTGTCTCTGAAAAGCCCCATGGGGAGTTGACAATAAAATTTGCACTGTATTGTATTTTTTTTAAGTGAGTGAAAAAATACACTCTCTTATTAATGCTGATATCAGGGCAGATGATAAGTCAATTAGATTAGGATTTTTGATATAGTTATGATTAAGTTAGCTCCCTGGAATAAAGTGAACGTGCGCAGCCTGCGCGCGCACTAATACAGTGCGTCTTGAAATCCGCAAAAATAGGACAAAACATGGCTTCTCTGTTTCGAACGTTTGTCCGACGCTCAAAGGTATCCACCATCCGCATTACCTAAATAAAATATGATTGAAAAAATAATTATCCGTTGATGATCTGAAAACTGAGTGTACAGCAAGCCCAGCGTCGGATCCAGGGAGGGTCGAAGACGTATTACCAGTGTTTAACACTAAAATTTTTGGATCGACAGTATTGTACATCATGTTTTTCTGATTTTTTCTATCATCTTATCAGTATAATGCTCTTGATCTCTCATGTTAGGGTCGTTTATCACAAAACAAGATCCAAACGGAGCATTCTGTAGCGGCTTGTATTTCGCTTTCTCTCACAGTCAAAACATTATATGGATTTCGTTAAGTCATGAATCAAAGATTGGGCCCCAATAAAAAAATCCTGAACTCCCTTCTTTAGAAATTCAGATTCAAATTCAAATTCGAATTGCTGCGAACGCCATTTTCTTTTTTAGTTCACGCCCCTGGAACGAGGTTGATCTACGGTTATGAAAAATTAACCGGGGTATTGCAACCAATCAGAAATGGCGAAATATTTTGCATGAATAACAGTCCGGGCCACAACCAGATCTGGATATATGATGACGTCACCCACATTTGCAAAATGGCGCCCGCGCCGAGAAACACGAGGGAAGGTCACTTCCAGGCTCTTTGCTGCGACTAGAAGTGTCTTTTCCCCATGCTACTTTGAGAGCTGTGACTTTAGACAAGGAGAAATCAGGGGTGTGAAGAAAAAATACCGTCCGATGAACGTTTGTGCGTTCTCGGGAGGTAGAACGACCGAGCACGAGAGTTTTTCAGCTCAAAAAAATGCCGGACAAGGCGCAAAACATCTAAAAAAAGACGGTGAGTTTCAATTTTCTGATCCTTGGTGTAGCGCATAGCAAATTCAAATAGTGCTGTGCTTTGGAAGATGCAACAGTCAGTTGCGCCGTTCACGTACTGGTTTTCATTGTAACGCCATGTTTATTTTATGCTGTCTTGCAGTCGGATGGAAAAGCAAAAGCACCTTGTTTTTGTGGCAAAAAGATGCCGCCGGTTTGGTCGTGGAGAACCGTAACCATGGTCTTACCTGATCCAAAGTGGCAATAACAAAACAGTTCAAACACTGTTAAGCCTATTCAAAAGCTGTTATCAAGAAAGGGAATACGCGCTACAGTCAGAGGACTCGCATTTATGAGAAAAAACATCAAGCTGGAGTCTACTGAGTCACAATGCATTTCTCCATAGTTGATGCAGCTTCAGTAATTCTTATAATTTTGTATCTGTAAATCACTATCCGTGATAATTTAACATCCTGCAAAGAAAACTCATGAGCTGGGCCAAGCGTGATACAACATTGCAAAAAAAAAAAACAAAACAAAACAACATTTTTATTTACATTCAAGGACTAACAATAATCGCTTATAGTTATTCAGTTCCAGAGGGCACTTTGGAGAAAATTAGAACCCTTATTCAGCCGTAATAAAATGCTTTACGCTTCAAAAACTGAGGTCACAGAAAATGCTCTTGTATTAGAGGGAAAATCCTTCAGACCAGATACAAAAACCACAGTAAATCGATATGGGTGCCATGACCTCTCAGTGTGAAACAAACGGCTAAAATCACAATTGCTCAGTGAAAATGTGTAACCTTCAAGATCATAATCTACCCAGCAGAGGAAAAAAACTTAATTGGAACGAGCAGCATTTTGGCATGAGGTAAAAGTTTTGTGGGCCTACCACCCCACTTTATTACTACTGGAACACGATAAAGTCTACCTCTGAACTGGTGAATGGTTGTTAATATTTTCATCTGCAATGGGGTTTTTACGACCCTTCGTGAGTGCAATTTACAGAAAAGTTTTTTTGTTTTTGTTTTACCTTCGTATATTAATCCAAGATGTTTGACAATTGAAATATTGAAAATTAATGTCCAGCACTCCTTCAATCGCAATTAGATTTTAGCGCGTATGGTTTTTCTCCCGAAGAAGCAGAGAACACACTACTACTCTAGGCCGAAGCGGTGATCGCAAAAAGTACTCCAAACACGACTTCTTTATACCTTTCCACTTAAAATGTATCAGTATTTCAAGTATTCAAATTCCCTACTCTTCCCTTTCGATCGGTATCGTCGAGTTGCTTCGGGTCCAAGCGTTTTTACAGAAACCTTCCTCGATCATTATCATCTGAAGTTGATATTTGTAAATCGAACGCTAAGATGCATAAAATCATCTCGATTAATCGATTTGGTATTACATGCTCTTACTTTTCTTCAAGGAACATACCAGCCATAGCGCTCTTTGCTGCGACATTTCTGTTGAACTTAGTCTTTTCGCGGTCAAATCAATGTTTTGGTTGCCGTCTGGACCAATCACATTGCAGGAAATTACATATCCAGATCTGGTTGTGGCCCGGACTGAATAATAATAATAATACTTCAGGGAGCCACCTTAACTCAACAATACGCTGGGATTAAACTGTAACGCAATACGTACCCCAAGTACAAGCTCAAGGAATTCTCCTTTATCGTTTGCTTGCCTTTTCACTTTTTCTAATCGTGTTATCTGCAAAGGGAATATCCCATCATGGCAAATGCTTTCTTTCACTTGCTTTTGAGGTTTTTGCGAAGTTTTTGCCGGCTTAAGTGTTGTTGGCCAAGCCTAAAGTTTCGAGGTTCACAAGTGTATCATTGACATGTGTTTTAGCCACCCGTCACCAGTGCTCAAATATGGTCGCTATCCAAACTCTAAACTTGTATTTAACCTTAAGATTACCCAGCAGTACCGCTCTTACAGATATGGCTGTATATTGTTTGTTTTGTGCCCCGGTTTATCCATGGTTGAAATTCAATGTCAAGTTTTTTTTTTTTGCTTACTTGTTTGTTTCTTTGATTGCGAGATGATATTCTTTCCAATGAATAAATAACAACGAAATAGTTGAATGACGAAAGAAATAGAATCCAGCAAAAGAGGACTCTAGAATGAGTATCAGGCGGTTAATATTGGCTTGCTTTTAGTCTGTGGTTCGTACGCGAATGGAGGTTCAAAAATCTGATATGGGTGAATGCAGGCGGCTTTTTTCCTGTGTTTTTCCCAGCATCACTCCCCACTCATTTTGTTGCTTGACCTCGGTTCGCCGCCATCTTTCTTAAAGGGACTGGTTCACGATAATGCGCATGTGTGAGTTCTGACAGTAGCTGATTGTTTTTCAACCAATCGGAAGCGAGTTAGATGCATGCAAGTAAATTTACAAAATTCAAATTAATTGTTCGCGACGCGAGAGTATTTCCGGGCATTTGGTTTGATTTTATTTATCCCCATAATTCAAGTTTATTCTTTGCTACTTCTCAGATATATGTTGCAGCCGATAAGAATAAGATTTACAGCCCTGTCCTGCTTTGAAACAAACATTTACCAACGTGTATTTTTACGAGGTCGTACCCACGCTAACAAAGCAGTCACCGATCGGCAAATAAAATTTGTAAACAAACATCTTATTACTGTTCTCTCAGTTCGCCTTATATAAATCCAGAAATACCTACAAATAGCTCCTGGCTGGTGACAAAAACGTACAACGTATGAGTATAAAGATTATCCTTAATTGAGCATAAATTTCAAATGCTTATCAGCAAATGAACAAATTCATTCGCGTTGCATCAGGTCAGTGTTCCGCAAAACAAATGTTATCGAGTAGCACAAATAAAGAAACTAGATTATAAACAGAATACTCAGGCAATAATTTATTTAAAAACATCAATTCTTAAACATATACGATCGTAAAGCAAAGATACAAGGAAAATTTCAAGTGTACCAGATCGGTGAAGATCGCGCGGCCCGTTGCGGTATAACTACAGGTCGGAGTCAAAAATCAAATCAAAGTTGAACGAACTCATGCCTTTAACCACTTTCCAAGTGTCGTGTATACTTTTCGTAAGCCACACACTACTCCTAGAACCATACCAAATCGATAGGCTAAGCTTCTCTATCTTCAAAGACTATTGAGAACGTCCTGTTGCCAGACGGCCACGATGCTCTTCTGAACCTCCATGATCAAAACATTATTTTTTGCGTCTTCTTAAAACGTAACCAGTCAAACGACACAACCACACGTTAATCACCACTACCGAAGTATAACTAGACCAGCCAAAGCGGCGGATGTCCGAATAAAACGAAGGATTTTCAATGATTGTACCGGTAATGGCGATTTCGAATTTAGTGTTGACCCAACAAATTTATTCTGAAGAGACAAACGGCGCGCATGCGCATTATCGTGAACCAGTCCCTTTAAAATTGCTGTTGGAAACATCTGCCTAAGAGAAAATCTCGCCTGTGTCTTTTGGCTCACAGTCACGGAGCTTTTTATTTTGCCGGCTGTTTTATCAATTAGTTTGACTGCTATAAATTATTCTTCCATTTATTTTAATCCATGGGAGACCAGTTTAAGAGCATGTACTTAGAGGAGGCAAAAACTGCTGAACATGGAGGAATTGAAGGGAATCTAATGTGTGCTCCTCAGGGGACAAAACTGTTTGCCCTTGTTTATTTTGCTAGATACAGTAAATCATTCCAGTTAACTATCAATGTTTAATATCATTTTATTAAAGGCACAGGCCCTTTATAGACAGCTAGTGTTATAAGCCCATACAAGCATAATGTGCACATATTTTAGGTTCTAAGGTGTTTAATACATTTCTAAACATCTCTCTAAAGATGCAATTAAACCATATCGATAAATAGCAGGAATTTTTTGTTTTTCGCAAAAGCACGCGCTCTTATTTTTACTTCAAGGTCACAACTGAAGAAATGACATCTGATGATAAATTGTTTCCTCAAAAGTCTTTGACCGGGCAACTTTGCGAAATCTATGACGTCAAAAGGGTAACGGTGCACTGTTACCCGCGAATTTTACCTCCATAAATTTCTACTCGTAGAAGTGTTTCTTCGTGGGCTATTTTGTCTTTAACAGGTATTCCATTTTACTGCTTCTTCCTCCACGCGATTTACTTTTAGATTCTGTATACCCCCAAAATATCTTAATGATGTACTATATTTTATTCAATATGATTCTATTTTTGTTTCTGTTAAGAAGGAAAATATTGCTCTTATTATGCAATGTAATTATATTTAAAAAAGGGTCTATGTACAGAACAAAATTTCATTAACATATCTCATAGGTTTACAGTCATGTCCTTAGATTTCATTCAGGGGAATGCATAAAGAGAACTGCTCTAGTTGAAAAGTAGACCTAGAGTTTGAATGGGACAATTATGACCGATCTAAATGCAGTTTTCCAAACTAAGAACCAATTATATTTGAACGAAAAGTAAACATGTTCCTCGGGCCGATGGTACACTTCTTTTGTATTGTCAAAATATTATGACCTCCTTTATCGAAATATACATCTGATTACATTGTTAAATGCTGCACTGAGCAGAAGCTGAGCCTTGGTATATTTTTAATTATGATTTGCTATCGTCAACTAAAATAAATGCTTGAACAAAATATACCGTGTATTTCCAACACATATTCGTATTGGTCATATATTTTAAAATGCAATAGTTGTATAAATGGCCTAATTGATATAAGAATTCTAAGTCACACCCGCTTGATTGTTTACCGTTAGACGGCACCAATCCCCAGACGGTTCATTTGTGCATCGTGCGAAGCTATAACATCCATCCCAAAAGAACTAGAGGGAGAGTTAAGCAGTCCATTGAATGGCATGACATCAGCACCGCCTGATTGTACAACACTGCGTATTGGATCGTAGAGATAGTTTGGTGTATTATATCTTGAGTACATGTTTGTTATACTGGGGACGTAGCCAAAGTCGTCCTTAGTGGGAGATATGTAGTGAATTTCTTGTTGCCGTGGATTCGAAGGCATTGAGTGTACGTTAGAATAGACATTAAGTGGCACGCTGCTGTCATAACTAACCGGATAATTTCCATTTCCTGGGAAGCCCATGGTCACGTTGTTTTCGGAGTTGTGTTCCTGGACGTTCACCGGATTTAATACAGTGAGATTAGATGTCTCATTTTGAACCCAGGAAGCTCCCATGTATTCATCGGTATTTAATGTGACCTTGGCACTGAAGAACGCTTTATCGATGGCGCTTATAAAGTCACCTTGGAAAGTGTTCATCTCAGGAACGTTACCCATGTCACGAGCTGGCTCTAGTTCAGGCAATGACAACGGTTGGAGGCTGGAACGGCTTTGTACGGTTGGGTATGCAGAAGTGACTGTCATGCTCAAAGATGTGGGGTGCACAAATTGACGAGATGAGCTATTAGTCGCTGCTGTTTGATACCTCTCTTGAGATAGGAAGGTACTGGGTTCACACGTAGCAATGTATTGCCCATCTTGATAAGAATCAGCATTCACCCTCGGTGGGACTTGTGGTCTGTCATAGGTGACATTTTGTTTTGTTGCAGGTATGAAGACGGTACTCGTCTTTTGCCTTTTAGCTCTATGCCCTTCATTGGGTTTGTCATCCGTATGCTCTGGCTGCATGTTTTCCTTTGGTTTGTCCATTTCTGTTTCATGCGATTGATGATTTTCTACAAAACAAATCATCCGATTATCAATTCGACTCCAAAGATTAACTGTTTTAAAGTGAAAGATAATTCTTCTAAGTTTACTGTGATGGTGACCACAATTCGCTCATTTAGGAACTGAAGCCGAAATGCTTCCCGCAGTTGCTTCTGGGATTGTTACTGGGGATGCGCCTGTCAGCTATTGACCAATTTTTTCCCTGTCTCTAGTAACACTCCCAGAAGTCTTTGCGAAAGTCAGCTCGGCCCAGTCTTCTTCCCGTTTCTAAAAAAACATTTTAACGTCGCGAATACAATCTGAGGGGTTTTCACATGAGGTCACCTAATTCAAACTAAGAAATTATCGATTCTTGTGAGTTTCTACTTTCATGAGGTATTACAGCACCTAAAAACCTTTATTTACTCAAAATTTCGGTTCCAAAGGGTTCTTTTTTTTGCGATAAAAGACGCTTGAATTTCCAGGCTTTTGCAGGACGAGGCATTTAGCTGGCGACTGGGAAAGCTCTTGTGTGGCTTAAAAAAGTTCCCTTTTTTTGAGATTTTGCTATCTAAACATTTCTTGTCTTGAAATAAATATTACTGTTAATTAATTTTTATACGTTCTTCAAGCGATGAATTCATGCATAAGTAGGAAAACTCAAAAACAGATGTTTCTGTTAGTTTCCGGCGGCCGTACTTGTCCCCCTCAAAGGAACACCAACATGGCGTCTCCATACAAAGCCTTATAAATTTGGGTAAATCTCGCGTATGAATTATCAGGCGGACTTGATTCTTGGCGAGGGTCTTTGTATATTTAACTTCTTTCAATCCCCAGATTCTGGACTTTCTGTATTGACTGGTTTGCATTTTTATGTCGGATCGCGTGACAGTGAAAACATAGAATTGGAGGTAACCAACTGACCTTTCTTAAGATGGCTCTCAAGAGTGCTATTCAGCTTTTTGTCCATTTCAGCTATCCTCTGGTTCTCGACAACAAGAAACACATACTCTTGAAAAGCAGTATGAATTAAGTGGAAGACTCCTTTACAAGGAAAAAAATATATAAGAAAGCAAATTGACATTATTTCGAATAAACGTAAGGTTACAAAATTCCCTCCAGTGGTAGCTTTACAAGAAGGAGGCAGCATTATGAAGCTTTGTATTGTAAACAACATTTTTAATATGGTAAGAAACAGCATTTTGCGTAGTTGCTGTTATCTATACAAATGACCGTTACATTGAGAGGAGATATAAAAACTAGCGACTATCAAAACGTCTTTTCAAAAATAACTATTAAAAGCACGTGGTGCATAATTGTTTGCTTCGTTTCATTATTTCGATTGTCAGATTTCTTTGTAAACGCTCAGTTTCCTATTCTTGAGACACAGAATTTTCTTACCGAAACTTGGTGCGCTTCTCAGGGTCAAATCAGAAAGAAAACATCCTGTAGAAAATGACCACATTGCCAAAAATTTTCTGGACTTTTCTTCAAAAGACGTCTCTCTGTTCTCGTTTGTTTCCTGTATCAATCGTAACAAAAAAAATTCGGTTACTTTGGGGGAATTTCGCCATTTGCCATTACATGTGATCAGACACATTACACAAAAAGTGAAGACTAAGGCAGCGTGGCCGAGTGTTCAGCGCGTGGGACTCGCAATCCGGTGCCGGGTTGGAGGCCACTAGCTGGATTTGTTCTCTGTTGTCCTGAGTTCAAATCCTCAGCCACGCTTGAAAATAGCCAACTGATTGCCTCCCGCCAGTTAGAGTTTTTAATCCTGTTCTGTTCTATTTGCATTATTTGTTTCAGAATTATTTCAGTGATGTGCCTGTAAAGTGCCTGCTGAATAAGCTAAGAGGAACCCTTTAAACAAACCTCATTTCTTTACTTTACTTTACTTTACTTTATTTTACAATACTCAAAAATATTTTTGCTCGAAATCTGTCTGGGAACAACATCTGTGTTTTACCAAGAGGTGATTTTTTATGACAACCACCTTTACACGGGCATAACAACATTAAGCTTAAGTTTTAAAATATGCTTTGTATGTATGATAATCCTTCAAGAACGCTTAACCATCTTTATAGAGATTTAAAATTCTTTTCACGCAAATTAAAGACGACAAGCGTTGGGAATCATGACATCATTGAAGCAACATCAACGTTATCAGTTTTGTAGTTTAATTAAAGATGTTTAGTTGGTGAGGATGTAAGACCATGGAGTGTCAGTCTTTAGGATTACAGTTACCTTGAAAAATCATAACTCGGTTCACTAAAATGACAGGAAGTAAAACCAATCTTTATAACCTATTTTACCTCAATAACACATCGATCAACAACGCTGTCCAGCCATTCAATGTAAGCTTCCAATGGTGCTTGCTTACTCAAGAGACTTTCCAGTTCACCAACAACTAAAGGTTTCAATGAAGTAAGTTAGTATAGGCAACGCGAGTCTACAACGACAGACTGAAAAAGCTATTTTCATGTTACTCCTTCTGAGCTTTTGTGTCAACATGAGTTTCTAGGGCGAGGCTGTTGAGGGGCACTTATATTACATAATACTAGTATGCTGGTAATAATAATATAATATAATGTGGCTCTTTAATCTTTAATCTTTAATCACAGTACGTAACCATACATAACTGATACAAATGAACTAATACTAACATATACAATCGAACAAAAATACAAAAATGGTTAACAGGACGGTAGCAAGGGGAAACCAAATTCCCATGCTAAGACATACCCTCCAAAAAAGAAAAAAGGAAAAAAAAAATAATTAATTTATAAACATATATATTAAAAGACTATAAATTAGCCTGTAAATTATAAACCTAGATTCCCAATAAGAATGCATTAACTAATATTAAAGACACTATGCCTAGTATCTGTGGCATGCTTTGTTATGGCGCAGGTTTGAAGGTTGCGAACTGCAAGTATAAAGCTTTACGAGATCGTAGTCTCTTCTGGTGGTGTTGAAACCAGGCATATTTCATTACAGTCTAACCTCTCCTTACTAAAACCTCTATAATACGGACGCCTCTCCATTAAGGGCAGTTCGTTTGGTTCCAGAAATGCCAAAAATCATACACTCCCTACCTCTATAATACGGACACCTCTGTAAAGCGGACACTTGGTTCTGTCCCTTTGGTGTCCGTATTAAAGAAGTTTGACTGTATCAACTTAACAGCACAAAAAAAAAAAAAAGAACTTACATATTTTGGCTTTGTAAAATGTTTCCGAATTTCCACTGATAAAGAAGGCTTTGGAAAGTAGTTGGCCAAAATCGATCTTTTTTAGGTCACTCAACATCTGGGATACATCTTCGTAACTAAGCAACGCTGAACGTGCAGCCTGTTGGTTAAAAAGATATTCTTTAGGTTTATGCTATCAAATATCAATAATGCATGTAAATAGCGGGGAAAGGTTGAATGCGCTATTATGATATGTTCACTAACCTGGGCCAAGTGGACAAAACAAACTTGTCGCTTCAGGGCTTGCGTAAACATCGTTGCCACTGAAGAGAAAGACGTAATTTTATTATTAATGCTGTACCAATAATGATAACAGTAATAATAATAATCATCATCATCATCATCATCATCATCATCTTATTAGGCTTTTGCCTAAGTATATGGTTGATATCACAATGTTGTAGAGGAAGATACTAACGGAAGATTAATTAATTTTAATGTAAATAATCTGCAAGCTAGGAAGCTAATTAAAATGAACCAGTTGGTTTTCTTGTTAAGGCCCTGGACAATTTACGTTCTGGTAGCAAGAAGGAACTTATTTACAAGGTTCTTGATGTAATATGTTGCGTCATCAGCAGGATGAGAATTTATTTCATTTGTTTTTCTGACAGTAGATAACGTATAATTTTCTAGCAAAGATAGAAATGATGCGAAGGCAGAGTGTTAAGTATCATTTGATGCACAAAAAAGATACCATAGAAAGCCACCGTTATATAAACTAAAGTTCCATCCAGTTTATGTCTTTATTAGGCGTTGATCCAATTCCTAGGGCTTATCATATGGCTACAACACTACACGAGCTCTGATTGGCTGTTTTCTTGTCAGGGAATGACCTTGCATTACCAGCCTTGTGTCGAAAACATATACAATTTATGTCTGAGTTGAAAGTGGACATCCTTATGGACATCCATGTTATGGTCAAATGACAGCTGTCAAAAAGGGTATCCGCTGACCAGTGTCACCTGACTGTATTGCGGGAACTCATTGAGGTGACGTGTTTTTAATGTTATCCGCTGACCATTGATTTTTTTTAATTGATCGCAAACTCAGATCCATTATAGAAAGGCCATATAATAAAAAACGTGGTATTAAACTCGTCCGTTCGGTCATCACAAGGAAATCTCAGACCTCGGCCTTGATGTATTGACCTCGCTATTGCTCGGTCAAGACAGGCCTCACTCTCGGTTAATTATGAGTAGTATATAAAATTTCAACCTGAAAGTTACTCGATAGTTATTTCCCATTTGACGTATGCGGCACTGATAACTCTAAGCTCGATTTCTTTAAGTTTTTACTTTGCTTATATCATAAACTGACCTTTACATTTGGCTTCTTTAAGGGCCGGCGGCACTTCTGACAGGGAATCGTCTAACCAATTAAGCAAGTTTTCGGCAAATTCATTTATCTCTTCACGAAGACTGGAAATGAATTAAAAAAGAAATAGCGCCGATGATATTAACATTATCTCTTCTTTTGATTATTTACTACTTTTGAAACGTATAATCCTCAGACACGTCTTCGGACCTTAACAAAATTCAAAGAAAAAGAAGTCTGAAAGATGGTTCATTAATCTCACCTTTCTGGAAGGTCTTGAATCGTCGACGGTATAAGGACATCTGTCAAAACCTAGAAGAGGGTAAGACCCATGATTTAGGGTGTTATTGAATAGAGCCAGCGTTTTATCTGATTTGCAGCTATTTCTTGCACTTTTGAACCTACTTAATACAAATATAAAAAATATAATACTCCTACATAGCAAATCAGTAAAATGAAGTATGCGAAGTATATTGGCATTGTAAGCCAAATGTACTCATGACAAATGTATTTAAAACATGTAAACAGAAGAGTCTAAAAGAACTTGGCAATTACATCACAACCAAGCTGACGTACCTTGTATAAGATAGAATCACAGATACCCACAATGTCAACTACCATCGGACACTCCAATACTGAAATGATGTGTCCAGGCATGCCTTTCCAGAAATGAGTTATGAAGTTCTGAACCTAAGAGAAATCCATACACAAGCAATCGGTTAAATTGTTATCGTCCCCCGCATATTTTTCCCTTCCATTGTGAACCTTTTATACCAGGAGCTACCAAAATAAAATGAATGACTCCTGGTTTATTTCGAAACTACTGACTTTTATGGTATTGCCTTTTCACATTTTTCATGGTTGTTAATACATTTACTTACTCCTTCAAAGTTGGCGCTGATGACTGTATCCAGCATTCTCTGGCAATGAGTTCGATACATCATAATGAAAGTTTCAACCTGTGAATTACACAATGTTAAAAGTTTTCTTTAAGGAAAAAAAAAATCTGTAAAAGAAAAAAAATGATGAAAACAGGAACACAACAGTAATTACTCTTTTGAGCAGCTCTTGATTATCCCTTTATACAAAATAGTGTTGTTTATCACTTATTGTTGATCTTTTAATCTTTACGGTTTATTCGAAAATAGGAGGATCGGTTTTGCTACGTCCATTCTAGCTTTATCAAATTAATCCAAAACATGCATCATACCTTGTGAGCTGATACATCTTCAGGAAGTTGAACATTTTTGGCATTTGGAAATTCCGGTAGCAGAGTACCTGACTTGGAACTCAAGGAGAACTTCTTGTGATTGGCATTCTGTCGAGAAAAGAACAGCTCTGAGCTCGAACCCAACAAAAGATAAATAAGTATTTGGGATCAAATGGTGACGAGATGAATAAGGGAATAACTTCACATGCATTTTGTCCAAGCTGAGCAGGAGTAAAATTGAGACAATGAGATGGTAAAATTAGCATTATTTCTAAGTGCTCAAATAAAATACCTTTCAGGAAAGTAAACGACTTACCATGTCTCCCTTTCCTTTCATGCCGGAAAATCTAGAGAGTGAAAAAAGATATTTTCATCGTTTTTATTATTATATATCAAGTAATACTGTTACCAAAAGCGAGTATCAACGTTTTCCAACGTCATTACCTTGTTAACCCCTTCTTTGAATAACCAGCATGGAAGTAAGCTGATGTCTCCTTCACAACTATGCCATAATAGTGATATCTGGTAAGATTTCGAAAAAGAGAAGGGTAAAGAAAATTGCTTAAAAGTGTTCTTAAGGAGTAACTTGGGAAGAATGAGATGGAGATATTCGATGCAATGACATGGATGAATATTTAATAAATCTCCACACTGTCCGAAAACGGCTTTTTTTCTTTCAACGGGATCCCCAGGTCATTTGTGAATGTAATCTCATCAACTTAATAAAAAAGACTTACTTTGATTGTCCGCGAGTTCCAAGTCTTCTGGTTGTCAGTTTTGGAAACCGTTGACGGATAATCTAAGATAAAAACGGACGAAAGAAGCGGCTGAATATTTACGCATTCGTGAAGGACAGCGTGATGAAAAAAAATACCACAAAATAAAGTGAAAACAAAAGAAATAGTAACCAAGGGACTTTTTTATAGACTGACAAACAGCAAAGTAACGCTAGTAGTCCTTACTTTTCCAAAAGTTGCAGGTCCAGCTGGACACAGTTTTCCTTTTCGGCAGAAATCTAAATAGTGTGTGTACATAACGCAGCGTGGAAGACACATCCCTTCCTTGAGCTCGTAATTTTCACTAAGCCTGAAAAAACGATAACAAAAGACAAAATACAAAAAAATGAAAAAAAAGAAGTCTTAATTTATTTCTAACGAAGTAAGCAGTACTGAGATTATAGTTCATTCGAATTCTAAATGGAATATTTCTTACGTGCACTTTTAGAAATCAGAAGCTATCATAGCTGTTTCAAAGCGAACGCTTTTTTCAAGATCTGTCTCCACACACTCTGAAGTAGCATACGATCCCCAGGACAATGTTTTCCTTCCTCAAACTTTCATTATTGTTGATATCTAAATCATTACTTGACTGTGTTGGTAGTATAATTATTAAGCTCTAGGAAATTTCTCTCGTTCAGTTTGACCCAGACGAAATGTAAGGTTAGAAGAGTTCTAGTTAAAGACAATAATCAAAAGCAATTAATGAGGTAGGCCTCCCTCATTGAGCTGAGAATTAAAGATCCTTTAATAGCGGTCTGAGTAAAACGTTATACTCTTACAGAACTCACTAGATCTTGGAATAGAGGCTTTGGTTAAGAAACTTTTACTTTTACAAAGCGTTTCATTGGATAGTGTCTGTCAATTCGTTATATATTTGTGAATCCTAACTCTTCTACTGTAGGATGAATATGCATGGGAAAATGGAATTGTATCATTCCCGTAACTTTGATGTGGGATGATCAAACTCAGATCTTGGCCTGAGAAAAATCATCCTCGTGACCTTTCCGGCAAAATCCTATAGAACGTTCTTTCTCGCCCAAACTGAAAGAACAGTTTTTATAAGGATTTGCCATGTTGAAAAGGCTACCCTTGCGCTCGAAACGTCAGTTAAAATTTTTGAATCTTTCTTTTCTTCTTCCTCTTCTTCTTAACAGTTTATCAACTGATCTGAGTTGCTTTACAGTTTCTAATCAATTTGTTTTTTCAAGTCCATGTTGAAATAAAGTAGGAATATGTTTCACTTGCCATCTCAGTGTCTGTGCTATTTGCCGCTGTTTCTTCTCCAACATAACGAATGTATAAGATTCCTTTCGCCTGCCTCCTGAAATTTCAAGAATAATGACGTTACAAAGAACAGTATAATTATAGGAGATTTAAAAGGGTACATTTGACCTTTCATATGTGATGTTAACAACTGTAGAACTGTAGAACTGAGAAATCAGAAAATAGGAGTAACGAATATTGTGAAAGCAGAGCCTGTCTTGCAACTTTCAAAGTACTAAGCTATTTATTTGATATTACACTAATGAAAATACCGATCAAGCATCGTCTAGCATTTTTAAAGAACGTCATTGGTAGAGGCTATGATCAGCGCACAGCAAATCATAAAACACCCGACAACTTTAATCAACAATTGTTTTCTCCTTTTCAGATTTCGAAAGATTATTAGTCAGATCTAATAGAGTAACATTCTATAGTGAGTTTCTTTACACAATGATAGCGTCTATATCCGTCTACAAAAATCATAACAATATTTATAGAAACTGTTTCGCTCCTAAAAACTAACAAAATCAGCGTCTGATCTCAATCGATAAATTTCACGTAGGATGTGTATTCGCGCAATTTTCGTTAGAGACTGATTGATAAAGAGATTAAAATCGTCCGGTTTCGTTTTGACAGTGCTACATCTCATGTCTCTTCTATGTATTTCAACTTGCGCAGGTCGCTGTCAATCTTATTGGTTTGGGAAAAGAAAATATACTTACACCGGGCGATCCTGTTGTTTTCTTGTGTCCCCCTTTATCCTTTCACAACCTAACAGATCTTGGAATGCCTTAGCGTAAGCGAATTACGCGATTATTTAAAACTTTTTGAAAAAACTCTCCAAAATTGCGACAATGAGCAATCAGGTAAAAGAAATGTTACTTCTTCATAAAGAAAGAAAACAAAAAAAGGTATGAAGTAACAACTAACAATGAAGCGTGCCCCTATATTGTTCTTCAGTTATTGGAAGCACGTGCGTAAAGAGTTACAATGGCAAAGGCAAAATTACAATAAGCTTAACTAGTAAGGAACGTTGCTGAGCAAAGACGTTAAAATTAGCAGAGTTGATTTCAATTTTTGGGTATGGCGGACATCTGTCTGTTTCCTAAGAGAAAGTCGTATTTTAAGAGATTGTCTTCCCTCCCATTTTCACGCTACTCAAAATCCGCGCTGAAATATTGTCGTAAATAGATGTCTGGAAACAGCATACTTACACAAGGATTATTTGATGGTAATTTCTCAAAACTAGCCGAAAACGCGAAACAACACTGTTTAAAAAGTTAGTTTCAGAATACCAGACTGAGGAAATTAATTTGAAAACTGCTTTTAAGCAGTAAATCATCTTCTCAACATTATTATAAATCTTTAAATGTTAAAATCTTTATTTTTTAAATGTGCTGTAACTATCTGAATTTTTTCTTTCTTTCTTCTTTTTTCTGCTCGGCTTGTTTATTTAATTGGTACTGAGTGCTATACTATTCCCTTCTGTATAACATGAGAGGTAAGTATCATTTATTTTAGGTGATTGATCAGCTCTGAAGCCAGCTAAACGAGTTATTATGGAAACCTCTCTTGTCAAAAACTTACACGTAGTTATCGAATGCTGCTGAGAAATACTGGTCAAACATACTGCTACAGTGTAAACACAGTATCTACCCAAAGACAAAGAGCACGATTAACTCAATTAACACGACTACTGTTTTTGAAGGCTATAAAATAAATAATTTAGGATGTAATTTTCTCTTATTAGAAATTAATAGTTTTACTTGTTATTTAGGGATTCACCGGCTACTAGTTTCACACGCTTTTTCGTTCCTGAAAACTGAAAATGAATTTTCGCAGCACTTATATAATAACTACTACATGAGGTCCAACAATTAAAGGTATTATATATGGTATCATATGACCCTTCAGTCAAAACAAAGTTTAAAGCAAGACCCGCAAAAAAGTGGCGGATTTCATAGTCCTTTTTTTAACATTGTTTATTCGGAATGTTTTTATTTGTTGAATAATTGTTTTAACCGACGATTTTTCATCTTAAAGGTAGACAATGAAATACATTATGTAATTTGGTTTGTTCTCTTTTCTGGTAACATACGACACAAATGTATATATTATGAATTCATTGGAATATAATGAAATTTATAACAAGACTTGCTTTTGTTTTGTTTATTATCCTCAATAATTTTTTTTCCTTTTATAGGTCTCTGCATTCTACTTATAAATAATTAGGTTGTTGATGAGCTCATGTTAGTTGGAAAGATAGTAAGTAAAGGTATGCAACAGAACACTCGTTTGAATATCGGGAAAATACAGGCTACTCATGGGATATTCCATGGTATTTTATATATCCGGAATACGTATAACACGAGCAAAAATATTTTATGCCTTGTCTCGGAGGTGAATAGTACTGGTCTAATCACCTCCAAGCTAGTGTAGAATAATCAGAGGGCGCAAAAAGTACTATTTACTTGTGTAGTGTTTACTATGAGCAAAAAGCGACTCTAATAGCCCTTGAGGAGTTTACCTGTGGAGCGGGTTAACATGTTATAAGGGAATTGCTATCATAATTCCCGAGAGTTTGCGAGGTAAGATTTCCGTATAATCCAATACATTTCATATTAACTATTTGTGACAAAAAGAATGAAATTGCTGCATGTATAATAAATGTATGGGGTTATACGGAAATCTTACCGTTTGCGACAATCCAAATTATAGTCGTAATACTAAGTATGTAAAAAACAAGTCTTTATACATGACACCAGCAGGTTTTGAAGGCCGGGTGTGGTTTGCGACAAGCAGAAAATAAAAGCCCCTTCGGGAAAACTTTCCCTGAGAAAATGGTTCGTATTTTTGTACATTTTTGTGAATTTGAGCGGCTAAGAGCTAATAAACTATCAGTTTGCTGACATAAAGCTTTTTTCATTAATATGTAACCATCATACTTTATGGCTGCTTACATGTTTCAAAGAAATGTACTCCTGGAGTCACAAAGTTTCTATGGCCTTTTTTTCTTTCTTTTTCCCCACTAACACCAATAAAAAAATATGTTGCTTTCAAGCTACAGCAAGTGTGATCTGCAAAACGTTATTTTTTCTGGTAATTCGACTGGTATTTCCTATACATATACACATATATATTTTTTACATGTCGAAAAGCCACTCTAGAAATAAGCAGAGGCCCTGGCCTTTGGTTACATGCCTGCGAGAAAAAAAATACTAGCTATGTCAGTTTTAGATGACCAGATTGTTAATTCCTTCTTTTGGTCTATGTTTCCTGACTAAGTCTTATCCAAGAGCTAGACCAACATACAATATTGTTGAAATAATCGCTTTGTAACTGAATAGCAGGCGCCGGGTTACGAGGCGTAGATAAACCAATTTAGCAAAAAAGAAAGAGATGAGTTTAAACGGAATATTTTAACGAAGTCAAAGAAATATCTTCTATCTTAAATTTACTTAATTTACTGAGTCAGACATGAAGGGATAAAAATAAGCCAAGGTATCAGTTGTGTATTGCGAGGTGTGCAGTGTGATTTTTTACAGCCGGAAATATAGTATGGTAATTACCTTTTTTTCTGTGCTAGCTGACCAACTTGAGTTCACTGGGGAAATGCTATCGCCGATTGTTAGACAATATACGTTAGACGTTCCTACCACAGATCTTGTTCAAGGAAACCTCCACCGGAGGTTTTCAGAACGGACCGTTTTGCTTTTTAAACATGCGTGTTCTCAATATTGCTCGCTTAAAAGAGTTCCTCTTTGCAAACATCTGTTGAGTAGTGAAGATTGAGGGTCTATCTAGGTGACAAAGCCCCTCACAAGAGATAAAACAACGTGGACTTTAAAGTGCCCTTGCTGGTAATCTATTGTTCAGGCAAAGATCATCAACAACTGCTTCTCTTTCAATTGCAGATCACTGGAATAGAATGCTATAAAATGTCCCTGTCACAACGTAACCATAGTGCTGGCTCTTACAATATAGTAACTAAATCTGAAAGTGCTTTAGTCCAAACTTATATTTGATTTTCCAATACGCTTTTGGACTGTTCATGAGCTTCTTTTTTTTCTTTTTTCTTTTTTTTTCAGAGGCTCTGCTCTTTCATTGTTCTGTAATTCTACCTGCTGCCCTTTTCATTTGTAACAAAAGAGGTAAAAAAAAAAGAGTTAAGAACATTGTAGGTACGATGTATGAGTTTAGAGTGTGGGCGTCCTCGTCGGAGGTCATTTCTCCGTGAAATAAAGCCAACATCAAAATGTCGTTGGTCGTAAATGGATCGAGCAAAGGGATTTGGGGGCTAACAATTAATAGTAGATTAATGGCTCATTTTTGTCTAATCACACCGAATATATTTTGTTACGAATACGAACTTTAAAGGTAATGCAAAAAAAGCTTATTATTTTCAGAAGATAAAAAAACTCCCTTAGGACTGCATCAGTGATTGGAAATCTCTACTTTAAGTCCCACAGAATTGTCAAAGCATGCATAATATCTTCTTTTAGGGAACGATTCGTACCTTAATAATTATGCTACATTAATGCGAATGAAAATTTTACTGATTCCTCGAGCAATTTTGCGATTCAAGGAAATTAAAGGTATTTTCTTAAGAAGTGTATTATACGAAGCAATGTGACCGTTGAATAAAAGAGCTGTAACGTAATAAACGGATTCTACGAATGAGTCGATTTTGTCATGCAGTTATTTTCTACAACCCTACTGAATAAACGGAAAAATAATTCAATGAAAGACTTGCCTATTTTTCGTGAAAGTAGGTTGTAAAGAACAAAAGCCAACTTAATCTCACATGGTTATATCAGGCCTTTGAAACGTAGCATTGAATTTTCTTGACGGCATTTTATGTTTTAGCCACTAATGATAAGATGCTAAACTATATTAGACTTTCCTGTATAGTGCTCGTATTATAATGGAGACCTGGAAAGGTTTTATGTTACGCGATACTTGGCCTTTGTTAGTACGCAAAACGTACCTAATTTTTTTTTCCTCTCAATATCGACTAGCCCATATCCTGTGTCTCATGCTGTATGAGTGCTATGAGAATGAAACAATAGCATGAAACCCCTAAACTAGATCCTCGTGGGCTCATAAACACTTTCTTTTGTTCAAAACGATACAGAGGCCTCGTATTGAATTAAGGAGTAGGTGTTAACTTTTTCTTCCATATGCCCACATCACCAGCCAGCCCCTCGCGCTTTTAAATTAAATTTTCCCTATATCTCAAGGTAAAATTGCTGGTCGGAGAAAAAGAACTTAAAAGTAGTCTATAAATAGTCATTTAAAGTTAAAGACTATAGTTTCATGCTGTTAGAGTACTAAACTGACCCAGATCCGAGAGAAGAAAATACAATCAACAACACCCCACTTTCTTCCAAAACAGCTGAATTTTGAGCCCAGGTAAATTAACGAAGTAATTATCAGTAATAATTATAAGAAAATGGCAACCAACTCTAAAATTAACAGATGTTTGTTTAGCAGCAGTAGTAAAGAATGAGGTTTTCTTTCTTTTCACGTACACATCTAAACGAAAGAACTCTGTCATTTTACCGACCCTGCAAAAAGGGCAAAGATAACGGCCCCCCTTTTTATTCATCTTTACTATTTATTATTTTTTTACAACGTGCGGTCACTTTTTTTGTATGATTTTGATACCAAAAGGGTTTTTAAATCAGTTTCACAAAATACAAAAATAGGAGTGTTTTTATAGCATAAATCACTTTGTACTGATACTATTTCGAATTTGAGAGGAATATTCCGCTAAGAGAGAAAAAAAAAACTGTTTCAATGAAATTTTACAGGCATCCAAGTGTCATATGAACTAAGTAAAACAAAAAAAGCTAGCAAATTTTATTGTGGTAATGCCCAAAAATATTATTCTTTTCTCTGAGCACGTATTAAAAAGAAAACAAAAGAATCTAATCACCACCTGTCAAAAATAATTTATTCCGACTAGACAAGGTATTATGTTAAATGAAAGAAATAATTATATTTTGCAGTAAACCGCCAAGATGACAAGCGAATATATAGTGTTCAAGGGAATTAACCAAGAACTTGGAGAATATCAACGAAAAATAATAAAACTGTATTTATTTTGCGTTGTTGTGCTATCTCTTGTAAGGAGGAGTTTAAAGACAGAACGTTTATGACCATTCGGCAAAATTTATTGTATTCTTTGCTTCCCCGAAGGCTGAATAAATATTTGCTAGCTCGCACTAGAATAACAGAGGAATAATTAAAAAGATTATGATCTTAAAAGCAAATATTCATGTTAGTTTTGCGAGCATTTACACACCTTGGTTTGGTCAACTCGATTTTGATTAAAATTGAAATTTTCTTCTGCCCCCTGGGTTACAAGTTAAAACCATAGTTTTAGGAAGCTGATAACCACGTGGTACTAAGTTGACTTTAATTTCGTGAAAAAAGAAATAAGATTTGATGAACAGAGATTTTAAAGTTGATTAAAAATTGATCTTTTTTTTTCTCTGAACTGATACCGGAAAATGCCCAACCGGTTCTTACTTTAACTCTTCGCCGGGCGTAGGTACATTATAAGGAAGAATTCTTTTAGTATGATAGAGCTTTACATTTTTTAGGGAATAACACCACAATGTGCAGATCAAAGAAGCTTCCTAAATATCGTGTTAAAAATTGCGACTGAGTTGTGAGAAAGTGTTTCAAGTACATGATGTCGCTTAAGCCTGCGGGTTATTTGCATGAATAACCGAAGTAAAGTGACAGCTGTATTTGAATGGATTACGAAATTCTGTCACTTCTGGCGGCTGAATATTGCTTTCAAAAGTCAGAGAAAAGTACCGAAAAGTAAATTCGTAATTTTTCAGTTTCAAAATTTTTATTTCAGTGCATGCCGCAGCATTATCTTTTGCGCTCGATTCACGGAATGATGCCTTGGAATAAACGGAGCTGTAGAATGAAAATGCCCTTGACAAAATGTCGGGTTTCGCTTTGTAGACCTCTGTAATTGTTTAAATTCGTTTTCAATGGCTGTTATTTCAGTTTATGACAAGCTTGGGATCTATTGTGTGGGGTGAAAATAGTTAGATTCTTAATAATTAAATTTCTACTTCAATCAGTGGCGTTGGTGTAAAGTTTAAAAAAAAAATCCAATATTATTATTCCTCATGACCAAACTTTACTTCAGAGGTTTTTAAAACAAAATTATTGATTTATTTGCTTTACTCTGTTTACTTAACTGTTCCCGCGAGCAGTTAGAAGAGATAAACACGCTTTTTATCTTTGAAGCTTTCTTACATTGCATAGCAGGCTTAATATTCGTATTAGGGAGAGGTTGACAAAAAGGCAAAAAAAACAAAGGCAAAAAAAAGTGGAAAGAAGCACTCTTTGCCTTATTGCGGCGCCAGCCACGACACTTGGAATAAGCTCCAAAGGGAGGTTTGCTATAAAGTGGCTGTGACACACCCTATGACGTTGAATCTCTAAGGTCATAGTTACCAACTTGTTCCCGGCCGTGAACAGTCAAATGAGTGCTTGCCAATGTCCTGATTTAACTTAACCTGCAGAAGAGATACTTGACAGGCTTCTTTCCTTTGAAGCTTTCTAATATTGCAAAGCAAGTTTTACGGTTCTGACAAGAGAAAGGATGAAAAAAGGCAAAACAAAAAAAACAACAAAAGAAACAAAAACATGGAAAGTAGCAATTATCTTTCTCTCGTTGCTTATAGCGAATTTTGCTTTATAGCAGCTAGCACATACCCTAAGCAGTTGAATAGCTCACCTAAAAGGTGTTTTATTTGCTTTTTCGTCAGGTTTATTAAATGTTCCCGCGAACAGTACAATCAACTGAGGGCTTGTCAAAATCATGATTTAACAACCCGCAGAAGACGCACTTTTTTGCTTTGAATCCTTCTAACCTAGTGTAGGAAGTTTTACTCTGCTTGTTAGAGAAAAAAGAAAAAAAGCCAAAGAAAAAACACGAACAAACACAAAAAGAAAGAAGAAACGTGGAAAGGAGGACTATAGCCTTTCCCTCATTGAGACTCTAGCCCTGTTACTCTTACAATAGAAAACCCATTTTGGGTTTGCTATAATAGCGGCTAGCACAACGCCCTAAACATGAGTTGAATAACACACACACACGGCAGGCGCTCTTAGTGAGAGCAGTTACTGTTGATTGCATGATGCTATTTGCGTCCTGCCGCCGGATTCCGCTTTAGATGGGGGTTTACAACTTGTTTCTTTTTATTGGGTCAAACTTGATGCTGTCTGTTTCTCTATTCTCTGAGTAACGTACGCCTGATACTGCGCCTAACGCCTTGTCGATTTCTGCAATTTTGATTTCTAATGACCTGCTGCACATATTAGGTAATCTTAAGCTTGTTTTCCTCTCTCACCGAATCACGGTCTATTAATTGCTACGGTATAGAACGCTGTGCTTTTCTATTTTGGTAAATTATAAAGAGAGCTTACTTTTAACTACGTAATACGTGACTAGCACTAGGCATATTCAATTAGTTTGATTTGTGTCACCGACACAGTCCTCCTAAAACTTAAGTATCAGTCATTTGAGAAAAGCAAAAACTTGTCAATGTACACGTTTTTATGAGCCGCTTCATTGTTTTGTTGGTATCTACGAAGAAAACAAATGGGGCCGCACCGTTGGATTTATCTCAGAACTCACGTTGCAGAAACAAATTGGAGCTTGAGCCATTTCGAAACTAATTAGTATCATTCTGTAATAATATCATTGTAATTCCTCTGTAATGAAATTTATTCGGAATAATCAAGTACTTAAAGAACCAAGAAGATCCATAGGAGGGTTTCATTGATGAGGAGAAGGAGGCTAATGAGGCAGCTCGGTTAGTCTAAATAAGCAAGAGGTTGGACATTTTTTATCTCTTCTGCTTTGTGTTAAAATCCGTTGTTACGTGAAAAAATTTTCATACACATAGAAAAGGTAAAAAGAAAATGAGAAAATTGCGTTTTAGCCCTAAAAAATTTTGAATTTATGATACGGCGAATAAAGTTGTTTTTAGTTGCTTCGGAAAAATTAAATTTACTGTGATTGGAATTCCAGAAAAACCATTCTGAAGCTTCTTGTAGTTGCGATCATCTACAAGTTCTTTTTGTCTGCCAAACGAAGAGAGCATAAAGATGATGATGATAATGATGATGATGACTGATACTATTTCTTTTTTCTTGCTTGCGAGAGTTAGTGCTCAGTCATGGCTGTCTGGCTATTTCATACTTAATTCCAACCCAAATCAATAATAATAATAAAAAGATTCAGTTGAAACGCATTATACACTTCTTATACTAAGAAAAAAGGGAATTACGTAATTCTTGGGCATTGCAACCATAACACCTGCATGTACTTCCGGTTGATGTTGACACTTCAGTTTTCAGTTAGTACCATCTTACTATTACTACTGACAACAGAGCAAAATTATTGCTCTGAGTCAGCTCACTACGCTTAAATCTGTATCCAGGAGATACAACAATGCGATTAAAACTGTTCTATAAACCATTTAAGGAAAGGACAAAACCAGGGTCAGAAAAAAAATTTGGGGGGTCCTTGTTTTGCTTGACAAATGAGAAAACTAAGCCGGGGAGCTAATATCGCATTCTAGACTTAAAACGAAATAAATGAACATTGTCAAGAATATAACTAGAGGGGGGGTGTAATACAATTGTACGTCATAGGAGTGGTTTCTCACCAAAACCCTTAGATAACCCTGCTCGGTAGTTCAAGACGAACTGGCGCTAGCACAAACCGTTACAGTTCAGCACAAAGTTATGAATGAATTACAGAAAAGAAAACAATAAATTATCTGTTTTATGTAAAAAGTAGTAACCATACTTCTGATTAGTAAGCGGCACAGCTGCGATATATACTTTTCAAGAACGCTGGCTGAAAAATCCACGTGCCCACAACCCAGAGAGCATAATCATGCTCGTAACCACGGACAATTGATGTATGATGTTACAGAAGTCAATTAAGGAACTTTCGGCACGATTTGAAGATTATAAAAATAATGATATCAACTGATTCAGGAATGTTTTGTTGTAAACAAGCAAGGATCAGCAGTCTACAGCTATCCTGAAGGAACGGTCAAAACTGCCATTCCCAAAAAACGGGCGCAAAAGTTAGTAAGTTCTCAGTTAATATGAAAAATCTTGTTGAACTTAAAGAAAGGCTTGAACAAATTTTGTAGGCAATACGTCTAACATAATTCACTTCTTTCGACAGCGAGCATTCTGCTGTCAGCATTTTTCATTCTCGAGCAAAATTCAGGCAAAAATCATAAAAAAATGGATAAGGTGAATAACAATAATAAAAAAATAACTCAAACCTGGTCGAAAATGCCTGGTGGTTTTCATCTGATATCACCCGCTGACATTTTTCTGTTCACCCTTGTAGACAAAAGCATAACACAAGCTTTTTCTATTAAGGTGAACAGAAAAAAATCAGCGACTAGCTCCGTAATGTAATGTTACAGCTTTTACTTCAGTATGGCTTTACACATATATAGAAGAGGAATATCTACACAGTTTACTTCAAGATTTACAACTAAAGAGTGTAGTTTTCGTACCGGCCACTATAAAAGACAAATCCATGTGAATATATTACTGATAAAAACAGAGAATGGATTTGAGATATGGCGACCTGTTGGGTAAAATATTATATATAATGATTGTATTCTATCTTAGTAGAATTTTGGAGCAAGGATCTAAGGCTGGGACCGAGATAATATAGCGTCATCTTTCCAGTATGACTTCCCAGGCTCACGCACGGTTCTTATAATTATAGACTTACGTTCTCAAACGTGCTTAGTTTTTTCCGCGGAAAAGAGCAGTAATAATTCAGAACAGGACATGAGTTGGATAATATACACAGTCATGTGTAAGGACCTGCAATCTTTTGAAGCCGACGAAGAGAATAAAGGCTTGTTTTAGCAAAAAATCAGTTTACTATTCAAATTATCATAGCCAATATTGAGAGGCTAAATTGGACTATTGCTGTACTTGAGAATAACGACTTTTGTAACAGCTAAAATATAGCTGTTAGACAAAATAAGCAGGACCGTTTTTAGCTTTATGACAAACTGAAACTTGAACTGAGCATGCACATTACTATTTCAATCGACCTTTCATAACTGAAGCAGCTGCAAAACTGGGCTTAGTTTACAATCAGGCAGAGGGCTTTATACTGTCAACGCCATAAAGATCGACGTTGTTGATAAAAAGTGGTTAGAGTGAACTAAGTTTAGAAAATGGCAGGAGAAAACTCTTAAGACAAGTGAAGAATTAGAAAACGGATAAACGGAGAAAATTACCTATTCTTTGGACCGCGAGGTATGAGTGTATTTTAATCGATTCTTTCTTCTGTTATATCACTTGCATCGATCGAACAATGACTTTAAAACACTTTTAAATTAGCATTTTAAAATCATCATTATTTGCGAAAAGAAGTGCGTGATTAAACGTACATTTTCTCATAAATAGAGGAAATGTTCGGAAGTCAAATAGTCGCGATAAAAGCGTTTAGTTTTTGCAAGAGATGAAAATTTAAAAACCGTAAACCGTCAGTGTATTCGTTATTTTAATCACCAATTTATTTGTAATTAATAACAAGTCCTGCCGAAGATATATATTATCAGTGGCAAGGTTCAGTTAAAACACTTCGACAGTTTGTCAGTAAGCTTTGCTCGAGTAAACCACGTCGATTTTACATGCAAGCGTTTTTTATTCCACATCAAAATGTAGTTTGTAATATTATATGTGCACTTATTTTGACAAAAGAAAAATTATAACCTTGCCTTGATACAGGACAATACTAGCCTCTTATTCAATTGTTATCCGATAATTATGGAGGAGTGTAGTATCCTTGTTTTTGTTATTTTTCTTTACAGTCAACGACGAAAGGCTAAGCTAATTGCATTTGCTCTTACTCTACCTCGACGAGTTTCTATCAAGAGAATGAAATGTTTCTTTTTCTGCTCTCTTAAGAATACACTGCTCTTTTCACGAAATAAGAGCAATTCTCTTTGAATAGAATAAAATGTGTTTTATTTTCTTGGAATTTTTCTATTGCATGCTAGCACCAAAGAATGTTGTTTCTGAAACTGAAAATGCACAAGGGATGCATTCTCTTAGCAATAAAATTGGCACGTCTCTGTGAGACACATGTCGCAAGTGTTAACATAGCACAATATTTATAAATTTCAGACTAATTTTTCTGATAATGCCGTTATTATACCACATCCAAAAAGATCGGTCAAGTTACATTCATCTAAGACCACTTTCAGGAGACTTACCTTTCGTTTTATATGGTTTGATGTCGTCCACATTAAACTCGTCGTCCGTCTCCTCTTCGCAATAGGACTTGCGAGAACAAACTCTTTTAGGACGGCCAGAATTTGCTTTTTCCGCGTGGGCTACGCTTTGCTTCGAATTTGCTTGAATAATCTCGGATGCCATTTCTTCTCACTTAAATCAAAGCTCGCAAATAGCGCTGTAAAAATAGAATTTTTTTTTCTCCCACTGCTAGTAGAGTGTTACTTATATACCCCACCGCTAAAGGCCTTAAAAGAAATACGAATTTCCGGACTGGTTAATAACTGAGATTCGTGCCATCAGCAGGTGCAAATAACTCCCACCTTCCGAGTTTAATGATCAAGGGTAGAGATTCGCCTTTATGAATAATACAAAGTAGAGAACAAAGAAAAGTCATTGCAGTTGTTCAAGAAAGCGATCTGATTGGCCGGTTATGACAATACCCGACAAGACTTGCCACGCTCATATAAAAATGTAGTAGAGTTTTAATTGATAAATATTCTTATTGTAGCTCTGTAAACAAGTTGGCTAAATTATTCCGCATTATAAATTTCGCCCCAAGCTTCGCTTCGCTTTTAAAGATGGATTTGAATTATTTTTAATGTATCCATGATTAAGTTAAAAAAAACCCAAAGCATCTTTAGCGAGGGTTATTGCACGTAAGAGCTACAATTAGACCTATTTATACCTTAAGTGAGTACAAAAGCGGTTTCTTTTGTGGTTATTGTTTCGGGCTGGAATAAAAGAGCAATAGAAAAATTCGCTCGTTTACGTTTTTTTTTTTTTAACTAAGCACAAAAGCAGGTTAATTAAAATTCAACATCAGCCTTAATCGGGTAGTTATCAATCTTTGAGAGGGCCTTAATGTATAACCGTCTAATCTTCAAACTTTTTCACTCTAAAGCAACCAAATGAATTCGCGATCTAGTTGAAAAAACAAAAAGTCAGAAATAACTGAAGAAAATTACTTTTATTTCATTTCAGTTTGCACCGTTGCGAAATGCCCGGTTCTCTAACATAGTTGATTTACTCATGTAATAACCGCTGACTACTTTTCATCCTTTTCAATACCAGAGTATGATGTTTTGAAGCCGTAGTTGTTTTTAAACCTACATAACACAGCCATGTTTAATTAAAGAATTTTTATTGTAAACTTGTCCAGTGGTCGTCCTTATAAAGCCCCGCCCGGGTCGTTTGTCAAACGTTGGATAGCGTTATCCACGAAATCATTATCTAGCGCCTATAAACCAGTTCTGTTCTTAGTGCTGAATAGAACTTTATCCAGTGCATAGCGGCATCCACCTTTTAACCAGTTAGGGACTGAAGTTTTTACTTAATGCTCCTGCTCAACAATATTTGAATTTATGACAGTTCTTGCAATCAAATTGTAAAACGGACCTAAATAATTGACTGATGGATTGATTTAATATTTTTTGACTATTCCTTCCCGTTTTCTTAAAATTATTGTGCAAACCATTTTGAACAAGAGGCGTGGTTTTATCGCAATAACTGGAGCTTATTTTTAAAGTTTTTAGCTCACAAACACAATTGGCGTCTACCTACAGCTATGCCTCTCAAAAATAGTTTTTCCTGATCAACCATGGAAAAAATTGAAAAAAATACCCTGCACTGCCACAGAAAGTTAAGGTTATGATATATTGGATATTGTCCCGTACGGATTTCTTCTCGATTCCAAATAAAATACTGTTCGTACACATTCGCGAATTAGAAACTCAATAAAAGAAGCTGATTACATGATGAACTTCAGCCCAGTCAGCCGGGCTGAGATTCTAGCTCGGCTTTCTGGACAAATCTTCTTGACTCGATCCATGTCAAGAAGATCTGTCACATGAAACGGCTTTAAGCTCCGATTCATTCCAATATACTTGGTATCACAGAATTTTGTTCTGCATGAGATTTGAATGCGAAAAAACATTTCCCTCAAGTTTTCCCACCCAATTTCAAAGCTGGCGTTGCTCCCGGGCTAAAATTCGCTTTCAAGCAGCAACCTAAATTCATGCCCGTTCTAAGACTTGCCCATTGTAATTGCTCCCTGAGACTGCTACTGTCGGTTGGGATCATAAAATTCGGCCAAGAAAGTGGAAGCGCTGGCGTTCTCTTTAATTACAATCTGGTTAGTTTGTTTCGATGTAGGGTATATTCACACTAGACAGAAAAGCTTTTCTCTCCACTTTAGAGACAGGCGCGGCGCAGATTCCCACCGTTTCAGAAATGGCGCCGAAATCACCGCTCGTATATGTGAACAGAAGCCCTATCCGGTAGGGTTTTCGTGCCGACGCAAAAGCTATCCGGTATAGTGTAAGCCCAGGAAGGGGGGGTACTCCCTTATAAGGGCTAAATGGGGGCGTGCGGCCAGCCAGGATATGTTTTGGGGGATTTTTGTCTTAAACAGGGTTTCGATTTTATCATTTTTTCTCTTAATCAGGGTATCGATTTTGTCAATTTTTGTCTTGAACAGGGTATCTTTTCTTGGACGATAAACAGGCGGTGCGTATGTTCTACGAACTAAACTACAGCAAATTTTTTATTTATCATTGTCTCACACAGGGTCTGGTTTCGGGTTAAATGTCTTAAACAGGGTATCAAAAATCGGAATTCTGTCTTAAACAGGGTAGGAACATCAGCGATTTTTGTCTTAAACAGGGTCAGGGTATGAGGGACCGGTCCGCACCTCCCCACCCAAGGATATATCGAGTACCCCCACCCCCCCGGGGTTTACGCATAGCCTTAGCCTTGTCAGACATTTTAATGGAAAAGCTTAATGAATAACTGACTATCTAGAGGCTAAACACGAACGCACAGCCTCCTCAAAAACATAGACAGCCAGTTGTCTTTTCCTCTTCTTTGTTTTTCTTTTTGTCATCATCCTCCATGCACCATGTCAAACAAGGACATAGGTCCAGTACAAAGTTGCTAAATATCTTCCAGAAAAGAAATCCAACGATGAGTATTACCCAGAACACTAAACCAATCATGAAGATGATATCAGATGGCGCGGCTACCACCGATTTCAATTCCGGGACTTTGGTCATCACCCGGTACTTTGCTATTCCCATACTTGGAGTCAGCACCATTACCATGAAGCCGAGTCCGGCTGGTGCAGCGATGAGGAACCTGAGGGGATAACAACTCCAGCAAAATGGATTCCCAATCCAGAAGTACAAAGGCAGGACTCCTGTGGATAAAAGGAAGAGAACTGTGATCAATGAAGCCGGGTCACAAAATTCATCAAAATCCAAGTATTGAGAGCTGTAGCCAAATTGAGTTTACAGCTCAAAACATTCAAAGAAGGTATAAATAACAAAGAAGATATAAAAGAAGGCATGAATATACAAACTTGAATGAGAAGGAATCGGATTACAATCATGGTTGCAGTTTTTGAAAACGTAATTTTAGCCTAATAGTTTATCAAAGTTCATTTTTGTTGTTTGATGTTTGATGTAATGCTTTTGTAACGTTTGATGCAATGCTTCCGAAGAGATGTTTGTTTGATACGAAGCTGTGATTTTATCATTTGCGGGAAAAAAATTCCTCGCTAACGTTAACTGTTCTGACAGTTCCTTCGCCAATATAGACGCTATGTTGACAATATTAGCCCAACGAACATGACAGCTTCGACACAACCCCTTTAAAGACAGTTGATGATGATGAGAAAGTATCTTTAACAGTTTTCATTAAAATAATTTCCCAGATCAGAACAGCCATACAAATAAAACAAAATTACACAAAAAATGATTTGTACTAGATAAATGATTTATCTAATATCTCCCTCATTCAGTACTCTCATTAAAAACTTGCAAAACTCCATTTTGCATTATAAGATCGCTCGACCTCGAAATTTTCAGCTGCTCTTTTTTTATGGATTCATATGAATTCCTAGTAAATCGTTTGCAGTTACATGCCTTGATGTATTAATCAACAAACGAGGAGGAGTAACTGGTGTTGCAAAACTAAACCAGATGTCTCTGGACTAGCGCCGACACAAACTGCTGACCTCATTGACTCATTGACGCTTTAAAAACTTCCACGTGGTTAAACTGGTTCGTTTTTAAACCACACAATACAAAAATGCCTGGTACAAAACTTAATTAGGCTGCAATATAAATAATTTTGGCCAATAATTTTCTCATTTTATTTATTTGGTTGTCGTTTTTTTCCATAATCTTACCCTTATAAATAGTTATCAATGCTACCGCTGATATTTTCAGGCCAATCCACAGGCTACCTCTCTTCAGGGAAAGTTCTGCAGGTATGGAGCTTGCAGTTGCTGCGCATTCCCAACAGTTGATCTGCCCTGGCCCGAAGTAATGCACACTCAGCTCCACAGCCAGACATGATACAGGGATATCGTGAATAAAAGTCTCCAGGCACATGAATACAGTATGAATATGAACGATTTTCCGGTAATATCTTGGTGTGTCGGGTGATGCCAAGTCATCCTCAAACGTGGGATCCCGGCAATGTTTGCACAAATTTGGTAACAAGGTACATAAATGTGCTATGTAAAGTGCTCCACCAATTCCCGCGAAAATTAGAAAGAACCACTGCAGAATCTCCAGCGTTAGAATATGCTTGTCCAGATCGGAAAATGTAAAATTACCGGGTTGCCTGCAGTATATAACTGTTCCTCCCCGATCAACTTGCGTTGTTCCATTTGCCTGTGAATCTCCAAGTCCATTGCATCTCCTAACAGCACTGAATACGTCAATAAACATACCTACATCTGATGCCACATTGTAGCCTTGTAAAATACTGTACACGGTGAATTGAATGATGTATGAACACTTCATTGTCATTTCGCGACAAAATACAGCACATATTGCACCGCAACAACTCATACAGAATTCACAGATTCGATCCGCCATCTTTAGTTATCGCTTCTTTGTTGATTTTCACACCGATGTTAGTCTGGGGCCTTGTAATGGTGATCTGAAGATATTTGCAACAGAAAGTGGAGGTTAAGAAAGTTGATTTACTTAGGCTGGCTTAAAAAAATAAACTGAACAGGAATGTATACCGATCACGTAGATAATGTTCTTATGCCAATACGCGCGCGTTGGAGCATGTGAGGGGTTACAGCCATTGCAGTTACATATCAAAAGGGCAATATTTCTACAGTACTTGTGATGTTAGTCTCATCTATGTGCGATATAAGACTTACCGAGCGGAAAGAAAAATAGGCCAGTAAAAAGATTTTCTTGCTGTATTGAAATTTCATATTCAGT